GCATCTGATAAACTGAGTCGTGCTGGGGCGCTAGGAGCTCAGCACCCCAGGGGTAAGCCCTGGGGCCAGAGGTGGGAAGAGGCCTTCCCGGAACAAGAAGACATAAACTGCTGGGGGTGAATTTTCAAGCGTCAGGGGCAGGCCAGAAGGGAGACTATTTCCGAGTGGGTTGGGGGTGGGGAGGAAGCTTCCAGGTGCCTCTCAAATCACACGCTTTGTAGGAATCCCTGGCAGAGTGCGTTATGTTTTAATTTATTTCTCTTCCTTCAGTTTTGTTGTTGCTCTGAGCGGCAGGCTCGGAACTCAGCATTGTTCAGAGAAAGGAAGGTGCTGCGAGATGAGCACGAGCAGCTGGATGAATTAGTCAAACTTGGTTTCCTTGACGTGAAATGAAGAAAAAGCTATTCACCTCTCCAGGTTTGCCGAGGGCAGTCCTGAGCTAACCACCAGCACGCAGGGCCAGGCCTGGTGCCAGTCACACCTGGTGACGGGTTCTCAGTAAACGCTACTACTTCCTCTGAGGGCATATAGTTGGTCTGCTAAAACAAAGACAAACGAGCGGGCCAGGGCCAGAAACTCTGCTTAGCTGCTAAAAACCTCAACCTGTCCAGCCAGTCCTGCTTCAGGCTTCCACAGGCTGCTACCTTATGCGCTACAGGCATCTTGTATACATTTGTATTGTTGGGGTTTTTCAGCTTGTTTATGCTGTTCGTCTGCATGCAAATCTGTACCTGTATATAGCAGACAACCCTACCTAATGTTGCACTTTCGGTCACCCTTAGATTATCCTACTTCCTTCACGGCACTTCTCTGAAATGATATTATTTATTTACATGTTTACTTGATTATTGGCTGTCTCCCTTAGAAGGTCATCTCTATGAAGGCAGAAACTTTGCCTTGTTCACCACCCTGTCTACCAAAACAGGTGCTCCAGAAATGTTTGTGGAGTGCAAGAATGCATGACCATGCACATGTGTGTCTTAAAAGGGAGAGGGCAGGCAGGTGGGTGGAACAGCTGCAGCGTGAAAGAGACCAGGGCCAGCCCTTCTCCCCAGCAAGGGCTCCCACTGTGGCCCTCACCTACCCCACACTGATCTTCTATCCTTCTTTTCCATATCTTTCTCCAAAATATATATATATATGTTTTAATACTTTCATTTGGGATTTTGCTTACAAAAATAATACATGCTTATTATTTTTAAAAATATAAAATATAATATTTAAAACATATATAAAGTAAAAATGGAAAATCATCCCCTTCCTTCCATTGCCTCTCTCCAAAGGTAACCCCAGTGAGCACTTGGCTGTATGTCCTTCCAGTCTTTCCTGCAGCACAGGGGGTCTCCCCCAGTCCTCCCCACACCCCCAGGGAGACCTCACTGCTCAGTTCAGGAGAATCTGCTTCTTCACTCCTCTCCCCCTGGCAGAGAAAGAGTCTCCCTGTCCTGAGACTTCCAAGAAACAAAACACCACAGCTTTCCACATTCCTTCTGGTTCTTCTGCCTCCACGGCCCCTTCCCCCCAAAACCAAACCAAACCAAACCAAACCAAACCAAACCAAACCAAACCGGAAACAGCATGGAGTGACTGGAAAAACTGTGAGCTCTAGAGTCCGACGGACCTGGTGGAAATCCTGCTCTGCCATCTACCAGCGGCCTTGGCCCTCTCCGAGCCTCAGTTTCTTCATGAATATAAGGAGGCTGATTCACCTACAAGATTGGTTGCGGCAAGTGTTACGTGCGGTGCTGCCAGCAAGGGCTAGTGCTGATGAGGTGGTACGTAAGGGTTAATTCCCCTTTCTCCCCAGTATCGCTCCCGTGGTTGGACGTGGATTACTTCCCTGTCATTTTTGTTTTGCTAGAGATGAAGAACACCGAGTTCTTTTTCCCTTTTTTTACATTAAATTATTCTTAGAGACACCAACTTCATCATCTCCCTTCCCTTTGCTGGGTTTAGTCCTTCTTTCCTCACCTCCCCATCTCGCCGATCAATGGTCTCAGGACCTATTTAAAGAGGCCCCAAGAAATCAGATGAGGGTGGAAGAGAAGGCGGGAACCAGCGCCCCGCCTCTGCCTGCATCATCCCCACGCAGCGTGCTCCACGGCCCCTGCAGCCACGAGAATCCACATCCTGTCTGTAAAGGCCAAGCAAAGCACAAGTTCATGCAGCAGTTACATAATCGCCTGGCTGTCTTGCTGTAAATCCGATATCTACCTCCTCTAAAACTTACTGTGAATTTCTGGGGCTTGAAACAACAGGGACCAAGGTAGGCGGCACCCACCCACCAGCCTTCCCACGCACCTGCCTTCGCCTTGGGGTGGGGGTACCCAGCGTCGGGGTAGTGCACAGCCTCCCGGGGTTGGCAGACCAGGCTGAAGTCCCATTCTTCCCAGAGTCCTGTCCAGGGCTCAGACTAAGGGCACTCCCAGTACCCCTTTCCTGTGAATCTGGGAGTCACCCAGCTCTGGTTGGCCTCAGGCTAGGAAACGGCAGATCAGACAGAGGAGGGACCCCTTAAGTTCCTGAGAAGCAACCTTAGTGATGATCAGGGGACAATTATACTGATTGGGGTGCAGTTCTCCACCCTGGAAGCCCAAGCCCTGTCTGTGTCAGAAGAGGCAAAGACACTATGGGCCATGAACACTTGTCTCTTATCAGCCAGAGCCCTGACCCGACTGCTTCCACCTGCAGCCCAGATTGGGACAACTTTCCCAACCCCCTTGCAGGCTCTGGAGCAAGAACTCCAGGATACAGCAGCAGGTAGAGTTTAGGGGTGCCATGGAGGAGCCACAGAGACAAGTCAGGTCCTGAAAGAACTTGCAGTCAATGACAGACTCTAGAACAAGCGAATACAGCTTTTTTGGAGTTAACGACTTAAGAACTTTAGACAAGAGGGTGGGGATGGGGTTTCTTTCTCTTTCAGATCTTGGATGTTGGGGTACCTCAAGCCAAAAAGCAGCAGAGTAGAGAGGAGGTAGGAGATGGAGACTTCAGGAGGAGGGTGGCCCTTCTCCTGAAGTCTCAGGGTGAGTGGCGGCAGCCAGGAGACAGGAAGCTGGCCAAGGAGGAGAAGCAGCCCCCAGGGGCCACCCCGCCGTGGGGCAGCTGCACCCACAAGGCTGACTTTGATATGTGCCTGGCTGATGGTGCAATGGTGAGGAAAGAGCCAAGAGGGGTTGAGGGATCTTACGGATAAGGGACAACGCCTGCCCTGGGCAGCCACAGAGCATCTTCCTTTGTAGGCTCATGATCACTCACTCACGGGAACCAGGAGGACAGACACCTGTCACACTGAAGCCCAGTTTTGCTCTCCTTCTCTCCACTCTCATTTGGAAACCCCATGGCTCTTTCTACTGGCAACCTCCAAACTTGGCAAAGTCCAAACTTTGACCCTTTCACTATCCAATAAAAACTTCACCCCAGAGCTTTCATCCAAGGAGATCAAAGTGGTTTCTGCAGACACAGAGTCAGCAGGTTCCTAGAAGAGTGGGGCAGGGCCAGCCCCAGTAGCATAGTGATTAACTTTGGCACCCTCCACTTTGGCAGCTCAGGTTCGGTTCCTGGGCGCAGGCCTACACCACTCATCAGCGACCATGCTGTGATGGCAGCCCACTTACAAAATACAGGAAGATTGGCAACAGATGTTAGTTCATGGCGAATCTTCCTCAGAAAAAAAAGAGTGGGGCAGAGTTTACCCTGGTCAGGTAGCCAATTTTGAGGAAAGAGGGGGCCCCTGGCCTTGAGATAGACAGCAGTTTGGGTGGGTGCCCTTGTCCAGCCCTTCAAACCCTGGCTTCTCCAGATGAGGACAGCCCCAGAGAGGCCTCACCTGTGCTTTGGTTCTTCAGCAAGCAGTTGTCACTTGCCTGGGGGCCATGACATGTCCCTGGGACATTATATTAGGCTCAGCAGCCCTGGCAGTCACTGAATCCTCCAGCTGGACGACTCCCTCCTGGATAGATGGAGACCTGGAGAGATTTTCGGCTTGTCACAGGTCAGCAAGGGACAGTGGCACCATGCTGGGCTGCCCTAGGGCCCTGCTACTTGGCCGTGGGGGGCTGTTGAGACACCAGGCTGGGAGATGAGGAGAAGGCATTCCACTTCCACCTCCTGAGGTCTCTGAGGGTAACAGAGGGTGATCATGGGCACTGCCAACTTTCCTTCCACTTCAAAGCTCAGGGGAATGAACGGGTCTGGGGAAAGTGGAACCTGGACACACTACCTGCCCTGGTTCCTATCAGGGCAGCTGGGGCAGGAAGACATGGGTGAGCAGTCCTGGGGTGGGTAGGACTGTGCCTTTTGGAGCATGGATGCCCGGAATAAGAGAGCATCTTAGGAGAGCCCCTGGCTGTAGAGATAGGAACAAATGGGCCAACAGCCCTGGGTGCCCCTAAATGCCAAGAGACAGGGCCAAGCACAGAGATGAGCGTTTAGAGGCCCAGAAACGTGTGCACACACACGCTCCCACAAACACACACTCACCCACACAGGCACATACCACACACACGCAGGCACATACGCACATGCCCATACAGGCATAAATATTCTGGCAGGCTCACACTCACATAGGCACACACAGACACACACAAGTCCAGACACACAGGCACACACATACATACACAAGCACAGATTTTCACACACGGGTACACGCACAGGCACATATTCACACAGAGACAAAGATACACATTCATACAGGCACATGCATAAAATTTCACACGGGCAACTCGAGGGGTACAGGAGCGTGCTCAGGCGCAGACACACAAATTCACACACGCCCAGGCACCCACTAAAGAGATACACAGACAGGCACAGCATGTATCTGCACATGCACAGGCTCACACACACACACAAACACACACCCTGTAACTCCCACACCAACCGCCTGGGCCATTTGAGAGAGTCCTGGCCAGCTGCCTTTAGTCATTCACCCTGGGCCATAGCCCAGGCCCTCCCTCTGCCCCGCCCCACCTTCGATTGGTTGTATAAATTCTCTTCCTTTGCCCCTTTTCTGGCACAGCCTGCCTCCGACACCAGCATAGCTTTCTGCCTCTGCCCACTCCTGGCCGGCTCCTCAAGACCAAAGCTACCAGCCAGCAGCATGGGTAAGGAGGGGGGCTTCCGACAAGACAACGGACAACTGTATGCTGCCCACCCCTGGCCAGCCCTACAGGAAGTGACAGAAAACCTGGAGAAGGGGAACCGGTTAGGGGAGGGAGCGCTGCTCTCTGCCCCACTGTCCCCACCTTGCTCCCACCCCTGCATTTCCCAGCTTAGCCAAAGTTTCTGGAGGTGCACGGGAAGGAAAGTAGAGAGACTGCTGGGAAGGGTGACTTCCCACCCAGCTCCTAGCTGCAGCCTGGGGCCAGGGTGCCTTTCTGCAGCTGAGAATTTGAGGGCGGGGGGGCGCTGTTCTTAGGGGGAACCTCTATATCCCTGGCGGTCACCTTAGGAGGCAGACAACCTGATTTCAGCCCTGGGCAACTTCTCCCTCCAGGGAGTTGGAAGCCAGGGCTTCAATACCCAGGTCACTCTCTAGCTACCCCACATCACCAATCACTCTGGGAGGGAAATCAGGGAGCCCACACTCTCCCACTGGGGGCCTGTTTGAGTGCCTCCCACCCTCTCAATCCCCAAAGTCCTCCTGTTCCCCTATCCGTGGGATCCTAGATGTCTGGCTGAGGAGGAGGTTGGGTCTGGTTGGGAGTGTTGAGGTCCTTGCCCCCTTGGAACTGGACGTTTCCTGGGCTGGCAGAATGCCCAGCAGCCAGCCTGGCGTTGGGAAAACCCAATTAGCTTTCCCTGGGTTCAGCTCAACCCCAAAGATGTTCAGAGATCTTGTTTGAGTAGCTTAAGACAAAGGGGTGGTCCCCAGAAGGAATGATGCTCACTGGGGCCTGAGTGGCATGCAGGGCCTGACTCTGACTGTGAGAAATGCTGTGTGTTAGGATGCAGAAGGAGAAAGGTGGGAATGGGAAGACGACGCAGATGGCAACAGCTCCCACACACCTTTACTTCTCTCTCAGTCTCTGTTTGGCTTTGTAGTTTTTGTATCTCTGTCTTGATGTCTTGGAGTTGTGAATCTCCTTCCCAGTCTGTGTCCAGCAACCTCCTTCCCCTCCTCCTCGCCTCCTATGCCAAGCCATAACACAGCTCTGTTGTGTAAGAAAAGAAGTCTCGTTAATTCCTTTGGACTGGACCTCTCTCTCACCCTGCGCCGCCCCACCCCCAGCTCTCTCTCTGGACACCAAGCACTGCCTGGGATACTGCTCCGCCTTCTGACACAGCCCTACCACACTTATACAACACTTCTTCTTTACAAAAGTACTTCTGAATACATTGTCTTGTTTGACCTTCATGGCCACCTAGAGAAGAAGGTAGGATATTATCACCCTCTTTTAGTAAAGGAACGGGAGAAAGTAGAGAGAGTAGATTATCAAACCTGGATCTTGAAACCAGGTTTCTGGACTCTAAAACGCTGTTGCTGCCTCTTAGCCTCCTAAGTCACTTGGCTGCAGTGAATAGGGGATCTGATCCCTGGCTGAGGGCCTGAGCCCAGGCTCCAGTGGAGGCTCAACTCTGGCTACTCCTGGCTCTCCACTTGTGGCCCCTAGCTGTCAGGGCAGCGGCCAGACTGGCCCTGGACAGGGCAGGGAGGCAGTGCCCATCCTGTGAAGTCCACTTCAGGATTTCTTTCAGCCTGCAGCTCCCTCTGTGTTATTCCTCAGCCCTCCCCCTGCTCAGGCTCCAAACCCTGTTGCCTGATATCTGGTCCTGGCAGCCCTCCTTCTCAGCAGCTGGCTTTGCTCTCATAGATCAATGTGGCTTCTCTTGCCAGCCTTCAGGGGATACGGAGGGCCACTCCCTACAGCTCCGGAGGGTGGGCCTCTGAGTTGTCCAGACTTGGGCCAAACACCTTACTTTACAGGTGAAGGAAGTCGGCCCCACCCAGGTGCACAATCTGGTCTAAGGACATCTTGTTGGTATCAGCCCTGTGATCTTGAACTTCAGTCTCCTGTCCCTCACCAGACCCTCGGTTATGTAATCCAGGCTCTGGCCAGCAGCCTGGGGTCAGGACCCAGAGGGAAGAAAAGCAGAGTGTCCCAGCCCTGCTATAGAGACTTTCCCAAGAGGGGAGCTGAACTGGCAGCACCCTTGCTCCCTGATTGCTGTTCCTCAAGAACAGCCAGGGTGTACTGGCTCCTACAGGCAAGCACAAGGCTGCACACTTGACTACACCTTCTTGTTTATTTCTCATAAAGCCACTGCGGTAACCTTATTACTCTCCTTTTACCGATGATGTGGAAATTGAGGCTGTGGATGTTAAGTAATTTGCCTAAGTTCCCATGGCTAGTCAGGGACCAGCTGGGACCCCAGTCGATGTCATAACCACTATACCACATAGCCTCCACAGCACTCACTCTTCTCCTGTCCTCCCCCGGATCCTGCTTCAGTGTCTGTCCACCTTCAGGTCATATCTCTGCAGCTCTTCCTGCTACACCCACACACTCATCAGAGCTTTGAGGGACAGGGACAGATGGGTGGGAGTGACGGGGCTGGAGTCAGCAGGGAACCTGGGACAGCTGCGTGTCTGCCTTGGCCAGAGGATGGGGTGTGTGTTGCAGCAAGTAGGGAAGGAGCCTTCACCCTCCAGAACGCGGTCCAGCCAACATGCCCCATTGTTTCCACAGCTATGAAATGTGGAAATTGTGGACCTGGCTACCCTACCCCTCTGGAGGCCATGAAAGGTAAGTGCCAGACATCTGGGCCAGTGCCCCTGGGAAGGAACTCTGCAAACCAGCGGCCTCACTGATTCCCCCACTGGGGGGCGGGGTGGGAGACCTCAAACCAAGGCCTCCACCCTCGGGAACACCCAGCGCTGTGCCTGCCATTCCTTCCCACCCCGCCATCCCCACTGCCTGCTTTCTACCCTCCAGGACCCAGGGAGGAGATTGTCTACCTGCCCTGTATTTACCGAAACACGGGCACTGAGGCCCCGGATTATCTAGCCACTGTGGACGTCAACCCCAAGTCTCCCCAGTATAGCCAGGTGAGGTGGGGCTTGGTCACCAGAACCCTGTGACTCCTTCTCCAGCCCTGAACTCGGCAATGCCCTTCCCCAGCTCCATCCTTCTTTGCCCTCCTTGGGTATTGTTGTGCAGGCTGTTCACTGCACAAGGGCATGAGGTGCGAGGGAGTACTGAAAGCCAGCCAGTGCTGCGCTGCGAAGCCAAACTGGGGTAGGGTGGGGGCGGAGTGCCTTTTCTGAAAGGGCACAGAGGTGTGGTCTGGGTGAGCACCACCCGCTGCCCCCTCTCCCACACTAGGTCATCCACCGGCTGCCCATGCCCAACCTGAAGGATGAGCTGCATCACTCGGGATGGAACACCTGCAGCAGCTGCTTCGGGGACAACACCAAGTCTCGCAACAAGCTGGTGCTGCCCAGCTTCATCTCCTCCCGCATCTATGTGGTGGATGTGGGCACTGAGCCCCGCGCCCCGAAGCTGCACAAGGCACGTTCTCTGTCATTGCCACTCGGGGATCCTAATGTACCCACCACCCTGGGCAGCCTATGGGCAGGAAGCCACCCCTAGACCAGCTGTCTCCAGCTGCTGCGCAGGGTCTGGGCTCAGCAGCAGGGAGGGGTTAGACTGCAGAGGAGGGTGACCGAGGCCTCCTGGTGGTCACCATCCAGCACTGTGGGGCTGGGAACCAGAGCGCAGAGGGGAGGCTTCTTGTTTTCACTTCGAGAGAGAGAAGGAGACACTTTTTCCCAGGCAGTTAGGAGCCCCAGGCCTCCCTCAGGCAGGAGCCTCCAACACTTTGTTGAGTGCCCTCTATTTGCCAGGCACTCACTGCTGGCTGCTGGTGATACAAAGCTGACGCTGGCATCGGCCCAGCCTGTGAAGAGTTTATGGTCTCACATGGCTCTGAGTGCCTTCAAGACAGATGAGGCAGAGAAGTCAGTGCTTTCTGCCTGGGGAATTAGCAGGCTCTCTGACTCTCCCTTGCTGCTCTGCAGAAGTTACCAGACTAATCTCTGCCAATTCCCTCAGGGAAATCTGTGTCCATGTTTTGAAGGAAAAGAGGACAGCAGACAGAAGTGGGAGCGTGTGGGATTGGGAGTGGGGACTCCCAGCCCTGTAAGATTCTGATGCTGTTCTTTACCCCTCTCCAGGTTATTGAACCCAAGGACATCCATGAAAAGTGTGGCCTGGGTAATCCCCATACCAGCCACTGCCTGTCCACTGGGGAGGTGATGATCAGCACTCTGGGAGACCGCAAGGGCAATGCCAAAGGTACCTGCCCGCACTGTAGGCACATCTGTGCAGGGAGCAGATCCCAAGCAGGGGGAGAAGTGGAATGACCTTCCAGGGAGAACCAGGGGGCTGAATCTCATCCAATACTTAAACTAGAGTCAAGTAACCTCAGTGATTTAAATGATTTCTATGATGATGAGCCTTGCCTATGAATTCACTTAAAAGTTATAGTCAGAACAGTCTTCCATGGGGAATGTGAGCCCAGACATGGCCCCAGAAAACATATAAACTTAATATCAGCCTTTGTGAATCCACGAGCAAATCTCACAGTCCTTGAGATCCTTAATCTTCACATTTGCTGTCTCATTCATGGTAGGATCAGAGCCAATACTTATAAAATATCCACTATGTGCCAGACACAACCTGTGAGATAGGTGCTACTATGATCCCTGTTTTACAGGTCGGAAAGCTGGGCACAGATTGGTTAAGTAACTTACCAAAGTCATACAGCTATTAAGGCACAGAGTTGGAACTCAAACCCAGGAATTTGGCCCCAGAATCTATGTGCTAATCACCACACTGTGCTGCTTCTCTCCCAGCCTAGGTTCCCGCGCTAGACTCTGTTTAACTGCTTTTTCCAGGAGATGGGAGGAGCATGACAATCCTAATTTAATAACTTTAGGAGTAGACATCTAGTTGTATTTGCAAAGAAGTGTCAATGTGTCATAACATACTCACCAAGGCAAAAACATATTGGGCATCCATGTTGAATGACAAATAGATATAATTTGTCTGCTCTACAAAAAACTGTGGTGAGTAGAATGGAGCTTAGACTCTGGCAGGAATCCCACATGAAAGTGGGAGGCTGGGAAAGAGCAGCACACAGTGCTGAGACCCAGAAGATCTCGTGGCTCAAGAGGAGACAATTTTCCCCAGTGTCTGGGAGAAGAGTGAAGTGGATGGGAGGTAGGGGCACCAGAGTAACTCCTCATGTCCCCAGCGGATCCCTGGGCGGGACCATTGGGACACCTGAATTTAAGGCGCTGGCAAACCCAAAGGGGGGAAAGGGCACCAGACAATGGACTTGGAGCCTGTTGGACATGTCTGGGGCTGAGCACTGGATAGGGGTAGTGTCTCTACTGCCTCTACCTGCCACCCTACTTCCCTCCCTGCTCAGGGGGTTTCCTGCTGCTGGATGCAGAGACATTTGATGTGAAGGGGACGTGGGAGCGGCCTGGGGGTGCTGCGCCTATGGGCTACGACTTCTGGTACCAGCCTCGACACAATGTCATGATCAGCACCGAATGGGCAGCTCCCAATGTCATACAAGACGGCTTCAACCCAGCTGATGTAGAGGCAGGTGAGAATCCCCCTATGGCCGGCAGGAGCCAGGGCACAAACACCCCTGCTTTCTGCTCCAAAACCCACTCTTCAGCCCTCTTATTTCTCTTAGGTGGACCCCAGAGTCTTGGGGTGATGGTATAGGACATGCTGAGTGCTCTCACTTGCTCAAGCATCCTTCTGATCCCTCCAACCTGTTTGCAACCTTCTGCCCTGGGCCGTGCCGCAGCCTTTACCCCTCCCCACCCGCCCAAATCCTGAGCCCATCTTCTGGCCTCACCCCCCACCCCAGGGCTGTATGGGAGCCACTTACACGTGTGGGATTGGCAGCGCCATGAGATCGTGCAGACCCTGCCTCTACAGGACGGGCTCATCCCCCTGGAGATCCGCTTCCTGCACAACCCGGCCGCTTCCCAGGGCTTCGTGGGCTGTGCCCTCAGCTCCACCATCCAGCGCTTCTACAAGAATGAGGTGACAGCCCCCTCTGGCCTTCTCCTCCCAGCAGTGCTGTCACTGCCTCTGCCCAGCCTCTGTAGCCATGATGCTCCCCTCTCCCTAGGAGTGGCCCACACTCCCTCTGCCTGGCTCCACCAGCCCAGACTTCTCAGGGACAGAAAGCAATGCCACCCGCCCTGCCTCTCTTCTCAGTCCCAGGCCAATTTCCACCTAAACCCTAACTGGAGATATTTACTCATTCATTCAAAAAATATCTAGTGAGCCTGTGTGGTACGCACCATGCAGGGTGCTGGAACGCAGTGGTGAAGCAGACATGACCCCTGCCCTAAGGGGCTGGCATAGGAGTTAGAGCCTGGTGGCAAGAAGGCCTGTCTCCCTGTCTCCCTGTAGACAGTAGGCTCTGAGGAGACCTAGATCGGACCCCACCCTCCAGCTCTGACAGGCTCACCTCTCTGCCTCCTAACCCCAATACAGGGAGGTACTTGGTCGGTGGAGAAGGTGATCCAGGTGCCCCCCAAGAAAGTGAAGGGCTGGATGCTGCCTGAAATGCCAGGTGAGCGCCCAGGGGAGGGTTGACTCTCAACCTGAGGGACAAGAGTCCTGAAAGCCTCTGACCCCCACCCCCCTCCAGGCCTGATCACTGACATCCTGCTGTCCCTGGATGACCGCTTCCTCTACTTCAGCAACTGGCTGCACGGGGACCTGCGGCAGTATGACATCTCTGACCCACAGAGGCCCCGCCTCACGGGACAGGTGGGGCCCTAGCAGGATGGCGAGAAAGGGAGGGAGGAGGAAGAAGAAGAGAGTCTGGGGATGAGACAAAGGTTATGGTGTGGCTGAGGGATGATAAGGGAGGTGCCAGAATGGCAAAAATGGGGGCTGAGGGAGGGTGCAGGCCAGGACCCTGGGGAGCCATGGCTGGAAGTGGAGAATGGGAGGGAGTGAGGGCATCCTGACTGAGGCAAGCTGCTCTTCCTGCAATGTCCTCACCTTCCCCACTGTCCTCCTTTCTACCCCGCACCTCCCCACCCAGATCTTCCTCGGAGGCAGCATTGTTAACGGAGGCCCCGTGCAGGTGCTGGAGGACCAGGAGCTAAAATCCCAGCCAGAGCCCCTGGTGGTCAAGGTGAGGATCTCTCTCCCTGCTGGCGGCCCCCCGCAGATCCATGCTGGAGAAGTAGGGGGGAGGGGGCTGGGCAGCATCTGAGCATGCTCTCCGGGTCCCCATGGTGCCCATGATCCCCTCCTAGCATCCGTGTGTCACCCTGGGCTCTGATCTCTGGTTTTCCCAAGGGGAAACACGTGCCTGGAGGGCCTCAGATGATCCAGCTTAGCCTAGACGGGAAGCGTCTCTATGTCACCACGTCACTCTACAGTGCCTGGGACAAGCAGTTTTACCCGGATCTCATCAGGTGAGAAGCTGACAGTCTAGGCTCCCTGCCCCAGCCCTCCTCTCCCAGAGGGGTCATTTGGCTTCCTGCAGACTTCCTGGGCACCCCACCTGCCCCCACCATACAGACCCTGCTCCCTCCTCGGGAACCCACTCCTGCCCTCACAAACTCTTGGGAGAAAGGGACGCCCCCTCTGACCTCTCTCTTCTCTCCTCCCCATTATTTCCACCAGAGAAGGCTCCGTGATGCTGCAGATCGATGTAGACACAGAAAAGGGAGGGCTGAAGTTGAACCCCAACTTCCTGGTGGACTTTGGGAAGGAGCCCCTCGGCCCAGCCCTGGCCCATGAGCTCCGCTACCCTGGGGGCGACTGCACCTCTGACATCTGGCTCTGAAGTCCACCCCTCATAGCCCACTCCACATTCTGAGCCCTCACTTCCACAGGGACCAGGCTTCACCCTTCTCTCTCGTGCTCTCTAACCCTTGGCAGCTAGTCCTACCAAAGCCAAACTGAGGCTGTTGAAACATATTGAGCATTGTCTCCATAAACCAACCACTGTTGCACATTTCTCACTGTGCTCTTTTTACATGAGCTCTTGGAAATTAATTCACCAAGAAATAAATTGGTGAGCCTATTCCTCAGATCACCTTGTCTTTGCAGGCACAGGTCCTGTGACGTCTCTTCTGCTGACCCATTGTATCTTGCACAGAAAGTCCTAAAGAGGACTCGGGGGGGTTAAAGTGACTAGTTCATACCTGTGATTACAACACGATGCTAATGATGCCAAAATCTCACTTTTATGGCCAGACAGAACCTGAAGGTTTTGGAGGTGGTTGATATAAGGAGACCTGGGGGAACAGAATGTCAATCCATGTTCGTTTAAACTTTATATTTTTTTAAGTCATGCTTTCTTTTAACCAACCTAAAATCTCACCCATCAGCCCCAGGAGCATGTAATGTGCCCCCTCACACACAGGAGACACCCTAGACCCCTGATGAAGACAGTACAATCTGTTTCCACTGCTGGTGAGACTACTGGGAGAACACACTTTTGTTGGGAGGTTAGGTGTGTCACCTCCTACCTGGAAGACAGGAACATGACCACGCAGGAGGGCTGGGAACATCAAGGTGAACCAACCCAACAGACCAGGCCCTAGCACTCTTGCCTCCTCATATAGACAATGTTTCAGAACCTTGCCCAAATCAGAGATGTCTCCTTTCTCTACGCTAGGTCTTTAATTCTTTATAAAAGGAATGAGATGGAAGTTTCAGGAACCTAAGAGACAGCAGCCAAGTGGTAATTCTACTGACTCCTTTAGTCTCTACTCAAGACAATACTAAGCAACATTCAGTTATTAACCTACATTCTTTTCAGCCTTCCTCAAAAGTGTCTGTTTTGAATATTAAAGCTGTCTAGGACCCCCAAGATGGCCAGGCCTTGCCAAGAATGTGTCACACTTTCTTTCCCTCTAAGGTCTTGAAACATGCTCGTTGAAACATCTACCTCAACTTGAGTCCTGATTCCCTCCTCCTGTCCTACTTGCCATCTGGGCCAGGTTATCACATCCTTTGGAAAGCCTCCTTCCCTGACCTCTCCAGGTTAGGAGACTCCTGCGCTTAACCTCAGCATGAGCATATGTCACGTTGGATGGAAACTCCCTGCTTATTCCCAGCACCTAGCTTGGATACTATCACATAGTATGCATTAATGAATAAATTAATATAAACGGGGTACTTGGGATGATTACAGAGGTATAGGGAGCCTTGGGATTTACTGGATCTTAGCAGAAAGTTCTCTCCTCAGTTTCTGCCCTGTCCTTTTCAATAACCAAACTTCTTCAGAAAGAGAAAACATCATATAGTTCCACATCACTTCTATATATTTCTAAAAGCTTAAAATTCCATTCAACAAGAGAACCTCGAGCATTTGTCATACCAGAAAGCAAGGAAACCACTGAAGACTACAGGAGTTATGTCTAAAGAACACATGATATACCTGACAAAGGATTTGTATCTAGAATACAAGAAAAACTCTCAAAACTCAACAGTAAAAAAGGAAACACTCCAATTATAAAGTGGGCAAAAGACAAGAACAGATATTGCACTGAAGAGGATATACTGGTGGCAAACAAGCACATTAGAAGATGGTCGACATCATTAGCTGTTAGGGAAATGCAAATTAAAACCAGGTGATATCACTACACAACTATCAGAAGAGCTAAAATAGAAAATAGTGCTAACAGAAAACGTTGGTGAGGATGTGGAAAAACTAGATCATTCATACATTGCTGGTAGAAGTGTAAAATGATACAGCCATTCTGGAAAAGAGTTTGGCAGTTCCTTATAAAGACCAAACATGCACTTATCATATGACCCAGCAATTGACCTCTTGGGCATTTATCCCAGAGAACTGAAAATGTATGGTCACATAAAAATCTGTACACAATTCTTCATAGCACTTTACTCATAATAGCCAAAAACTGGAAACAACCCAAATGTCTTTCAGTGGGTTAATGGTTAAACAAACTGTGCTATATCCATCCCATGGACTACTATTCAGCAATAAAAAGGAATGAAGTATTGATACACACAACAACTGGGATGGATCTCAAAGGAATTACGCTGAGTGAAACCCAATCTCAAAAGGTTACATACGGTATAATTTCATTTATATAACATTCTTGAAATGACAAAATTATAGAATTGTAGAACAAATTAGTGGTTGCCAGGCGTTAGGGATGGCAACGGGGTAGGGGAGGTGGATGTGGCTATAAAAAGTTAGCACAAGGGATCCTTGTGATGATGAAACTGTTCTGTATTTTGACAATGGTGATAGTTACACAAATCCAGAATTGTGATAAAATTGCATGGAACTAAATACATATACACACAGACACATAAATGAGTGTATGTAAAACCGGTGAAATCTGAATAAGTTTGGTGGATTGTATCAATGTCAGTTTCCTGGTTGTGTAATTGTACTACAGTTATGCAAGACGCACCACTGGGGGAAATGGGTGAAGAGTACATGAGATCTCTCTGTATTATTTCTTGCAACTGTATGTGAAACTACAATTATCTCAAAATAAAAAGTAACTCCGGAGTCAACTTGATGGAGCTTCCACCAGCCAAAGATGGAATAATTTGTGTATCAAAAAGAACAATATTTGAAACACATCAAATTTGTTAAAATCCAGAAGTTTATGATAACATACACATAAAACCCTAATTGATCATGTTTGGAAAATGCTAGGAAACCACCTCATTATTCTGCAAATTTTAAAATAAAGAATCAAGTATTTATTTTGCTTTTCCTCAGGAACTTGCCTCAGGATAAGCAAATGGTTAACGAGGAAATGTTCTTTACGGAATTCCAGCTAGTAAATTCAGAAGGACTGATCAAATTTGAATAGGACCAATTTGTAACTTCTAATGACAAATGGATCTAAGCAATGATCATCATCAATGGCTGCTAACACCACTAAATGAAAGACTACAATGGAACTTTATAATGGATAGATCAGACTGACAAAACCTGAACACACTTGTCGATCTTTACATCACAAAAAGAGAGACAACCAGGCATTACATGCCTCCTGATGTGAGGCAATAGGAAGTACACAACAGCACCTATGAAGTATTCTTGCCAAAAAACCAAAATGAATCTGATCAAGCCTCTAGATCTCACAATCAGTTTACACGTAAAACAGAAGACAGAAGAACAAGTTTAAAAAGTTTAGAGGTGATGTCAGCATCATGGCAGAGTGAATTTTTCCCTTTGTCTCTCCCCTCTAAGTTACAACTAAACAGACATTCATTAACAAAGAGGATTCCCTACACAGCACAACAGGATGCCTGAGAGATCCACACAGCCATACACCTGAAGGTGGGTGGACTGGATCCCCAGGAAGCAGTGGAACTAGGTGAGTGGGCCCCTCCCCCTCTCCGGTTACAGCAATCCAGGTCCCGAGTCATCACACAGTCGCTGTACAACTGTAAAAGGAGGCAGGGGCAGCCCAGGCTGCACACAAATGCTTTCAGAGTGGTAGCCTGGCCCACAGGAGTGTCCACCATGCCACAGAAGCCCCGCCTGTGGGAATGCTCCCCACTGAGTGGCAGTGGCTCAGCTCCTGCAAAGGAGCCCAGCCCACCAAGCACAGCAGCTCAGCCAAACTGCCCACAAGCACAGAGCCAGCTGGTGTGCAAAAGAAAGCACCCCTCCCCTCTTGCCTAATGCAGGAGAGCAACCCGCCTGCTGAGCACAGAGTCCCAGCCTACATGTGCATGAGTGACCCATCAAGCAGCTGTGGCCAGCATGAAAACACAGAGCAGTCCTACTGGCACAACTTCCAGCAGATGGGGCGGGATCAGAAAACACAGCTCCTGCCTCCCACCCCCAGCATTGGCAGGTGGAATCTGCAACCTGATACTACCACAAATGCACTGGCAAAGGATCAGTTCATCAAACACCATGAAGAACTACATTAATACTTCATAGTAGAAGGAAAATGACAAGTCTCCAGAAACCAATCCTGAACTCACAGAAATTTACTATCTAAATGACAGAGATTTCAAAATAGTTGACATAAAGAAACTCAACAAGTTACAAGAAAACTCAGAGAGACAGTTCAATGAGCTCAGGAATAAAATTAATGAGCAGAAGGAATGCTTCACCAAAGAGATGGAAGCTCTAAAAAAAAAAAAAAAAAAACAGAAATTCTGGATATGAAGAAGACAATTAATGAGACAAAAAATAATCTAGAAACCATAAAAAACAGAGCTGACATTATGAAGGACAGAAGTAGTGATTTAGAGAATAGAAATACAGAAATGGTTCAGGTGGAGGAGGAGAGAGAACTAAGACTTTTAACAAATGAAGAAATTCTTTGAGAAATATCTCACTAAATTAGGAAAAGCAACATAAGGATTTTAGGTATCCCAGAAGGAGAAAAGAGGGAGAAAGGAGCAGAGAGCTTGTTCAAAGAAATAATAGCTGAGAACTTTCCAAACCTGGGGAAGGAACTGGACCCACAAGTACATGAAGCCAATACAGCTCCTAATTACATCAATGCAAAAAGGCATATACTATTAAAACTGGCAAAAGTCAATGACAAAGAAAAAATATTAAGGGCAGCAAAGCAGAAGAAAATAACCCACAAAGGAACCCCTATCAGGCTTTCAGTGGATTTCTCAGCAGAAATCTTACAAGCTAGGAGACAATGGAATTATGTATTCAAAATACTGAAAGACAAAAACTTTCAGCCAAGAATACTCTATCTAGAAAAACTATCCTTCAGATATGACGGAGAAATAAAAGCTTTCCCAGATAAACAAAAGCTGAGGGAGTTCATCACCACTAGGCCCACCTTACAAGAAACGTTAAAAGGAGCCCTCCCATACGAAACTAAAAGACAAAGGTTTACAAAACCTTGAGCAAGAAGATAAATAGACAGATAGAACCAGAAAATTGCAGTTCTATATCAGAATAGGTTAGCAAACACTTCATTACAACATAAAAGATAAAAGGAAGGAAAGCATCAAAAATAACTATAAACAATTCAATTTAGTCACAAACTCACAACACAAAAAAGAACAATTTGTGACAACAATAGCTCAGAAGGGGAAGAGGAAACGGATGGAACCCCCTTAGGCTAATGGAGATAAAAGGCTATCAGAAAATGGACTATCTCATCTGAGATCTTTTATACAAACCTCATGGTAACCACTAAACAAAAACTAAGAGCAGAGCCATAAATCATAAATAAAGAGAAAACAGAAACCATCACAGAAAACCACCAAACTGAAATGGCAGTCAGAAATACAAGGGAAAAGAAACAAGGGAATTATAGAACAACCAGAAAACAAGAGATAAAATGGCAGTATTAAGCCCTTATATATCAATAATAACTCTAAATGTAAATGGATTGAATTCTCCAATCAAAAGACACAGAGTGGCTGGATGGATTAAAAAACAAGACCCGGGCCGGCCCTGTGGCTTGGTGGTTAAGTGCGCGCGCTGCGATGCTGGCGGCCTGGGGTCGGATCCCGGGTGCGCATCGAGGCACCACTTCTCTGTCCATCCTGAGGCCGAGTCCCACATACAGCAACTAGAAGGATGTGCAGCTGTGACATACAACTATCTACTGGGGCTTTGGGGGCAAAAAATAAAAAATAAATAAAATCTTTAAAAAAAAAAAAAACAAAACAAGACCCAACAATATGTTGCCTCCAGGAAACACATCTCAGCTCTAAAGACAAACACAGGCTCAGAATGAAGGGAAGGAAGATGATACTCCACACAAATGGCAAGCAAAAGAAAGCAGATGTTGCCGTACTTATATCAGACAAAGCAGACTTCAAGATAAGAAAGAGAATGAGAGACAAAGAGGGGCAGTATATAATGATAAAAGGGAAACTCCAGCAAGAGGACATAACACTTGTAAATATATATGCACCTAACACAGGAACACCAAAGTATATAAAGCAACTATTAACAGACCTAAAGGGAGAAATTGACAGCAACACAATAATAGTAGCGGACATCAACACCCCCTTACATCAATGGATAGATCATCCAGACAGAATGTCAACAAGGAAACAGTGGCCTTAAATGAAATACTAGATATACATAGAATATTCCATCCCAAAACAGTAAAATACAAATTCTTCTCAAGTGCACATGGAACATTCTCAAAGACAGACCACATGTTGGGAGACAAGGCAAGCCTCAATAAATTTAAGAAGACTGAAATCATATCAAGCATCTTTTCTGACCACAATGCCATGAAACTAAAAATCAACTACAAGAGAAAGGCTGGGAAAGTCACAAATATGTGGAGACTAAACAACATGCTACTGAACAACCATTGGGTCAATGAAGAAATCAAAGGAGAAATAAAAAAATACCTGGAGACAAATGAAAATGAAAATACAACATACCAACTCTTAAGGGATGCAGAAAAGTAGTACTAAGAGGGAAATTTAGAGCAGTACAGGCCTACCTCAACAAAAAAGAAAAATCTCAAATAGGTAATCTTAAACTACACCTAACAGAACTAGAAAAAGAAGAACAAAAAAAGCCCAAAGTCAGCAGAAGGTGGGAAATAATAAAAATTAGAGCAGAAATAAATGAAACACAGACTAAAAACACAATAGAAAGGATCAATGAAACTAAGAGCTGGTTCTTTGAGAAGATAAACAAAATTGATTAACCCTTAGCCAGACTCACTAAGAAAAAAAGAGAGAAGGCTCAAATAAATAAAATTAAAAATGAAAGAGGAGAAATTACAATGGATACCACAGAAATACAAAGGATTATGAGAATATTATGAAAAACTATATGCCAACAAATTGGATAACCTAGAAGAAATGGATAAATTCTTAGATTCATACAACCTCCCAAAACTGAATCAAGAAGAAATAGAGAATCTGAATAGACCCATTACAAGTAAAGAGATTGAAATAGTAATCAAAAACCTCCCAAAAAACAAAAGTTCAGGACCAGATGGCTTCTCTGGAGAATTCTACCAAACATTCAAAGAAGGTTTAATACCTATCCTTCTCAAACTATTCCAAAAAATTGAAGAAGACAGAATGCTTCCTAACTCATTCTATGAGGCCAACATTACTCTGATACCAAAACCAGACAAGTACAACACAAAGAAGGAAAATTATAGGCCAACATCACCGATGAACATAGATACAAATAATCCTCAACAAAATATTGGCAAATTGAATACAGTGATACATTTTTTTTTAATTTTTGTTTATTTATTTTTCCCCCAAAGCCCCAGTAGATAGTTGTATGTCATAGTTGCACATCCTTCTAGTTGCTGTATGTGGGATGCGGCCTCAGCATGGCTGGAGAAGCGGTACGTCGGTGTGAGCCCGGGATCCAAACCCGGGCCGCCAGCATCGGAGCACACGCACTTAACCACTAAGCCACAGGGCCAGCCCTACAGTGATACATTAAAAGGATCATACACCATGATCAAGTGGGATTTATACCAGGGATACAGGGATGATTCAACATCCACAAATCAATGTGATACATCACATTAACAAAATGAGGAATAAAAATCACATGATCATCTCAATAGATGTAGAGAAAGCATTTGACAAGATCCAACATCCATTTATGATTAAAAAAAAACTCTCAGTAAAATGGGTATATAAGGAAAGTACCTCAACATAATAAAGGCCATATGACAAACCCACAGCCAACATCATACTTAACGGTGTAAAACTGAAAGCCATCCCTCTGAGAATAGGAACAAGACAAGGGTGCCCACTCTCACCACTCTTATTCAACATAGCACTGGAGGTTTAGCCAGAGCAATTAGTCAAGAAAAAGAAGTAATAGGTATCCAAATTGGAAAGGAAGAAGTAAAACTCTTGCTGTTTGCAGATGGCATGATTCTATATATAGAATCCACAAGATCACTACTAGAAATAATCAACAACTACAGCAAAGTTGCAGGGTACAAAATCAATTTACAAAAATCAGTTGCATTTCTATACACTAATAACGAACTAGCAGAAAGAGAAGTCAAGAATACAATCGCAACAAAAAGAATAAAATATCTAGGAATAAACTTAACCAAGGAGGTGAAAGACCTATACACTGAAAACTACAAGACATTCTTGAAAGAAATCAAAGAAGACACAAAGAAAGGGAAAGATATTCCATGCTCATGGATAGGAAGAATAAACATAGTTAAATGTCCCTATTACTCAAAGTGATCTACAGATTCAATGCAATCCCAATCAGAATCCCAATAATATTCTTCACAGAAATAGAACAAAGAATCCTAAAATTTATATGGAACAACAAAAGATCCCAAATAGCAAAAACAATACTGAGAAAAAAGAACAGAGCTGGAAGTATCACAACCCCTGACTTCAAAATATACTACAAAGCTCCAGTAATTAAAACAGCATGGTACAGGCACAAAAACAGACACAGAGATCAATAGAACAGAATTAAAAGGCCAGAAATAAAACCACACTTATACAGACAGCTAGTTTTCAACAAAGGAGCCAAGAACATACAACAGAGAAAGGAAAGTCTCTTCAATAAATGGTGCTGGGAAAACCAGACAGCCATATGCAAAAGAATAAAAGTAGACCATTATCTTACACCGTACACAAAAATTAACTCCAAATGGATCAAAGACCTGAAGGTGAGACCTGAAACTCTGGCATGCTATTAAGAGTCCCTTCCCTGACTTACTGGTTTAGATGCCTAGCAGACTCTCTGCTCTAAACACTACCTGACTTAGAGGAATATGTACAACATTTGTTAAGTAAAAAAACTAAGTTGTAGAGTTACATATAATAGAATAGTATAATCCCCATTTTTAAGAAGAAATTCAATAAAAACTTCTATTTAGGTGGACTTTTGTTTGTAAGAATATGGAAGTGGGTGTGGGAGGATACTTACCAGAGCATGTTACCTCAGAGGGGTGAGGATTTCTTATGAAATTTGACAAGCTGTTTCTAAAACTAATCTGGAAAAATACAAATGCATAGTGTTCCAGCCATCAATTGCTATGTAACAAATCATCCCAAAACTTGGTGGTTTAAATCAATGGCAACATTATTTTTGCCCACAAATCTGTAATTTGGACAGCACTATTTGGGAACAGCTTGTCTCAGCTCCACTCAGTGTCGGCTGGGGCAGTTTAAAGGCTAGGGGCTAGAATCATCTGATGGCTTACTCACTCACATGTCTGGAAATTGATGCTAGCTGTCATCTGGGACCTCAGCTGGGGCTCTGGCCAGAACACCTAGACATGGCCTTTCCTTGTGGCTGCTTGGCTTCCTCACAACATGGTGGCTGGGTTCCAAGGGTGAGTGTCTCTGGAGAGAACAAATAGGAAACTGTATCATCCATTCTAATCTAGACTTGAAAGTCATACAGCATCACTTTCACCACATTCCAATTATTGAGACAGTCACAAAGGCCTTCCTAGGTTCAAGGGAACAGGAAATAGATTCCACCTCTTGATGAGGAAGCGGCAAGGTTCTGGAATAGTATGTGGAACCAGAAATATAATCTTCCATATGTAGGAACAATTTTTTAAAAAGTAACAAAACTATTAATGGAAAACTTTCAGCATTTGATATCAGAACATATTAGGTAATTACATCAACTAAAATAGTGTGATATGGGTGAAGGAATAGACAAAGAGAATCAACAGAAGAGAATAAGGTCCAGAAATAGACCCAACTATAAAAGGGAACTTGGTATATGATAAAAGTATGTAATAAAACTGTAAAAGGAAACAGCTATAATAAGAAGAAAATGATAAATATTTTGAAATGACTGACCATCCATTTAGAAAACAAACAAATTAAATTAGATCCTATGGAAGACATTATTTATTGGCTGCTGAACAACCATTCCCAAACCTCTTTTCCCTTGCCCACCAGAAGTAATGTCTATCCTTAATTTTATGGTAATAATTCTATTGCTTTTCATTTATTTTTTATCACATATGTATTTATCCATAAACAATAGATTGCTCAGTTTTGCCTGTCATTAAATATTTATAAATTACATTGCACTGTATGTTTTATTCTGTTTTAGTTCTTTCACTGTTTCTAAAGTTCATCAATGTGGACGCATGTAACTGTGGCTCATTCATTTCCACTGCTCTATGACATTTCATCATATGAATATAAACAATTTATCATTCTACTGTTATTGGACATTTGGATTGTTTCCAGTTTTTGCTAATGCAAGTTATATAAACCTTACTGTGTGCATCTTAGGGCATACGTCTAGGAGTAGGACTGCTGAATCGTAAGATAGTCACATATTCAACATTACCAAATAATACCAAACTAGTTTCCAAAACGGTTATACTAAATTACACTCCCACGAGCAGTGATTGAGAGCTCCTGCAGATCCACAACCATGTCAACTCTTAATATTGCCAGACTCTAAAATTTTTGCCAATTCAGTGAGTATAAAATGGTACCTTATTGGGGTTTTAATTTGCGTTTTCTTGATTATTACAGACAGTGAACAACTTTTCATATGTTTATGAGCTATTTCTGCTTCTTTTATGAAATTCATATTCATTTCCTCTGCCTGTTTTTCTATTTGCTTGTTTATCTTTTTATTTGTTGGAGGTCTTTATAAATTCCAAATGAGAATCCTTTGTCAGTTATACGTCTTGAAAATATCTTCTCCCAATTGTAGCTTGACTTTGTATTCTTTTTACAGTTGTTTTAAAAATAAATTTAAGGTTTTAATATTAATGTATCTAAATTTACCAATATTTTCTTTTATGGTTTGCATTCTTGTGTTTGTTTAAGAAATTCACTCCCAATATTAGCAGGCAATGTATAATAGTGCCTAAGAGCATATTCTGAATCCAGACAGCCTCGGTTCAGATCCTGGCTCCATTACTTACTAACTGTGTAATGCTGGGAAAATTGTTAACCTCTCAATGCCTCAGTCTCCTCATCTGTAAAATGAGGATAATTATAGTACCTATCTGACAGAGTTCCTATGAGATAAAAAGGCAACATAATAGAGGCCCTTAGAACAATCCTCAGCATACACTAATCTCTATATAAATATTTGCTGTTATTATGATGATGTTTATCACACAATTTTATTATAACTTCTCAGGGCAAGGACCATCATACCTCATTCAGCTTTATATCCCCAGCTCTTAGCACAACGTCTAGCATAAATGAGTAGTTGCCTGTTTTTCCCATCTCCAGCTTTTCCCCTTACTTCAACCTCACCTTTCTACAGTGCTGTCAAAAGAATCTCTCTTACATAGCTATGATACTTTTTCTCCCTTTACTATAGCTGCCAATTATTCCCTGCCACCTGCAAATTCCTAAACCAGCATAATTTACCCCAAACTCTTTTTCCCATCCAAGTGCTCTATATTCCCCTTCATACCAAACAGTGGTGGTTAGAGTATCTTTCCATCATTCTATACTTATATTTGTATATAAGCATCTACAAATGTGTATACGTGCAGTCTAGGGCAGTGTTCAAGACAATGGGCTCTGGAAGCAGACTGCCTGCCTTTGGCCCCTGATTCCAGCACTAGTTCACTACGTATGTAACTGTGGGCAAGTCTTTTTACCTCTCCAAATCTTGGTTTCCTTGTCTGTAAAATGGAGACAATAGCAGTACCTGCTTCAAAGAGATGCTGTGAACATTAAATGAGGCATTTAGCATTTGGTATGTGGTGTCTGGCACATGGTAAACACCAAATAAAGTTTAGCTCTTATTAGAAAACCTTCTTGCCAGTATATCCTTATTCCCTCAACTCCGCAATCCCCTGGGTTCCCCCAGTACCCACAGAAGCTGGTAGTAGGGAAATGGGCTGTAAAGGGCAATGGTGATGAGATCCGGCAGCATTGCTGTCCTCCTTACAAAAGCATACTGATGATGAGACTGGAGAACGTATCAGAAGTCAGACTGCAAAAACGGTTTTGGGTGTAACATATCTGCTGTGTAAAACAAAATACATCCATTCAAGAGGTTGTTAACTTGGAGTCTGTGACCTCTGAAATTAGATGCAAAATTTGGTCTGTATGTGCATTTTTCAAGGCAGAGTGTTCATTGCTTTCATCTGATTCATAACCTGAAAAAATCTTAACTAAAAGGGTTAAGAACCCATGACCTATTCGGTACAATGTCCTCTGACAGTAAAAAGTTCCTATGGGCGTCCAGCACCCCCTGGAGGAGTCAGTCAAAATTCCAGTGTTTGCTGAGTGCAGAACTATGGGGATGCAAATGCATTAGCAACTCTTTGGAAGGAAATGAAGCACACACGGGAAACCAAGGAACACTAAGAGCATTTCAGCTTAATGTGGTACAGCTGCTGAGGTTTCGACGCCTCCATCAAGGAGGAACGCTAGCCTGAGTTTGCAGGTTTGTTGTGGGTGCCTGTATGCGAGTGTTGGGGGTGGAGGTGGGGGTGGGGAGGAATGGTTCAACTTTGTTTTTCATCAAAATGTGGGTTATGTGAGCTTACAGCGAACTTCCATCACTACTACCCATAATTTTCTAGTTATTTTGTCATCCATTGAGTCTTTCCTTCCAGTAGCTCTGACGACCGAAGGCAAAACTGAAACACGGGAGGAGAGGGCCAAAGAAAAGACTCCAAAGGGAGCCGAGCGCCTGGTCTGTCGTCCTGCGGTCCCTTTAAGAGAAGAACCTCTTGGGACCGGCAGTCCCAACCGACCCCAGTTTTAACCGAAACCTAACCCGGACTTCCCCCTCTTGACTCAAATAAGACCAACTTTGGATTTTCCCTCCCCTATTGACCAATCAGATTCTGTTACCAGGCAGACTTTAGCTGCCGCCGGTGCGAGCCCGGCGCCTTCTGTCTCCGGGTGGCAGCAACGACCAATGAGAGAGCAGGCCGTCCGAGTATCTAGGCAGATCCGGGCTGTGCCAGCCATTCAGAAAAAAGAAAATAAAGCAACGCACGAGCCCGCTGGGCCAAGACCGTGGGGCTGGGCTGGAGTGAAGGTGGCTACGAGGTAGTTTCTCTTTCTCCCTTACCTTTATTGTTGCTTCTGTTGGAAGGCGACTGTTCAAAGGTAGGGAGGGGGCAATATGAGTTGGGAGGAAAGCAGAAAAAGATTTTGGCTGTATTTTCAACAGCTTCTTCACCCATGTGCACGTGCCCGGAACCTGGGACCCCATTCCCCCAACCCGGTTTCCTACGCCCAGCCCTGGAGTTCCGCTACCCTGAACCCCCCACTTGCAGCAACCCTGCATTGAATGGTGGGGGAAGGGAGGGAGGTGGGGGAAGGGAGGGAGGTGGGGGCGCGCATCAGGATGGGATGTTGAGGGAGATGACGTAGGGGCCGGCGGCGTGGGGAGGGGAGAAGCGGGGGAAGCCGTGGCGAGATTAAGTAATGAGAACTTGGGCCCAGTTGTTTCCAAGCCTGAAAGGGCAGAATATGTTCGTATCCTTTCTGACTTCCCAGGCAAATTCAGCGGTGAGGAGTATATTAGAGAATTAGAGAACTTTGTTTTGTGGTGGTGGTGGTGGTTTGTGAGGAGGAGGAGGGCAGTATGGGGTCAGAGGCAGAAATGAAAATTTCTTTCTAACGTGGATTCCCAATCCCACTATCGCTTCCTTTACAGTTTTCCACATTTAGGAGACTGCAGAAAGGTGGGGCAGATAGATTGGAGATGGCAAAGATCTTTTTGGGTATATATGGGCCTGGAGAAGTAATGGAATAATTTCTAATTTTTGGAGAAGGCAAGTGGTGAGAAAAAGACCACTGGGGAAATTTGGATGCTCTCCTTCTATTTCTCTTTCTGGGTAGAGAGATGAGGAATGCCCTGGGGCCTCCAGGGGAAGGGAAGTTAAATCTTCATGTCTTGTCTCCTCTCAACTCTAGCCCTCATGCTGGGATGGCAGAAGATGAAGCTGATGCTAAGAGCCCAAAGACTAGGGGAAGGGCCTCCTCAGGTAGTGCTGAGGCAGGGGAACCTACCACCCTTCTTCAGAGGCTCCGAGGTACCATTTCGTAAGTATTCACCGCCACCTCCAAATCTTGTTCCAGACCTGGGTATAGATCCCTGTAGCACTTCACTTTCTCTGTAGATGAACTGCCTCTCCCCAAACAAGTGCATCTGACCAGGGGGAGAGGCTTCATCATGGTAGCAGGTCTTCAGCACCTGCTGGGCATTTCAGTCTCTTCCTCTCCCTAGCAATCAGACACAGGGATGGGGAAAAATCTTGTGTATGACTTCCAGTTTTCTCCTCTTCTCCACAGCAAAGCCGTGCAGAACAAAGTAGAGGGAATCCTGGTAAGTATTTTGGGGAAGAGGGCAACAGAGAGATGGAATTGGTGGGGAGTGGGGATGGTGAGGATATGGGTAAATAAAAGGTTTATGTGGGAGAGGCAGTGTTGTCTACACTGTCAGATAATTGGCTTTTCAACTTGCTACCAATTTGACCTTGAGTGTCTCACTTCATCTCTCTGACCTCTTGTGTAGAAGCCCAATAGAAATAAAATCAGAGCTGATCCCCTTCACTCCCCCTCTCACTGTGGTAGCCCATAAGGGCTCCTCAGAGCACAGTGAGCACGACCCTCAAGGCATTTCTAAGGTCCTTTTTCAGTCTGACAGTCTCTAAATTCAGCAAGACTTTTGGTAAGGATCAAAAGGTCCTACCTTGGGTTCTTCTTGGCCTTATTTCTCCTGCCTCCATTCCTCCCTACCCCAGCAAGATGTACAGAAATTCTCAGACAACGACAAGCTGTATCTCTACCTTCAGCTCCCCTCAGGGCCGAGTACAGGAGACAAAAGGTAGGTTTGGTGCTAGAGTTTCAGATGTCAGAGGGTCTGATTCTTGAAGAAAGGCTCACTGGGAAGGAGTGGGGTGAACAGGATGAATACTCATAATGGCTGTCCTTGATCAAGAAGAAAAGTCCCTGTTCTGCCTTGGTTTACCAGGGAAGGGTAGATTCTGGGTGGACTGATTTGGTCCAGCACTACTGAAGTGGTAGTCTGGATAGAACCAGGGCAACTATTGGGATCTTAGTCATGCTTGTCCCTTTTGCTTCTTTTGCAGCTCAGAGCCAAATACACTCAGCAATGAGGAGTACATGTATGCCTATAGGTGGATCCGCAACCACCTAGAAGAGCATACTGACACCTGTCTGCCAAAGCAAAGTGTTTATGATGCCTATCGGTTGGTGGATGGGGAGTAGGTGGGTGGGTTGGTGAGCACAGGACTATCCCCTCACCCATGAAGAGCTCCCTGCCTTGATAGAGCCTGATTTATTAAAGGGTTTCCAAAACTTGATCCCCAGGGACCCTCTGAACCCACCCATGTCCTCCTTCTCTGAGTATTTTCCCACTTTGCCCCCTACTCAGGAAGTACTGTGAGAGCCACGCCTGTTGCCGCCCACTCAGCACAGCCAACTTTGGCAAAATCATCAGAGAGATCTTCCCTGACATCAAGGCCCGAAGGCTTGGTGGCCGGGGCCAGTCCAAGTATCCTTGACTGGAGAGGTTGGGGCTAGAGGAGCTGGGGAGGAAACCTGAGGAAGTAGAGAGCCAGGAGTGGGAACAGCCTAACCTTCCTAAGGGGCTTGGAGATCCCCATGTGTTGGCTGCTCCTTAACTTGCATCAGGTATTGCTACAGTGGTATACGAAGGAAGACTTTGGTGTCTATGCCACCCTTGCCTGGACTTGACCTAAAGGGCTCTGAGAGTGTAAGTAACAACCCTCTCATTGCACTCTTCTTTCCCAGGTAAAAGTCAGAGGTCTTTGGGTCATGTTTTGAGGGTTGACACAGCCTAGGTCATTCTGCATGTGGCTTCTGAGTATACAGGATATGCCCTTCTGCCTACTCTATGGCTGAGGCAGGGGATGAAGAGAATTTGTGGGTTTCTGGGATGGGATGGTAGAAGCTACTCCCATTCCCCAGTCTAGTTTTACTATGGTCAACATTGGTCTGAGAGGGGCTAAGGGTCCTTAAGTTTGGAGTGTGATTGGGCATGTCCTTCCCCACTGCAGCCAGAAATGGGCCCAGAAGTAACCCCAGCACCTAGAGATGAACTGGTTGAGGCAGCCTGTGCCCTGACCTGCGACTGGGCAGAGCGAATCCTGAAACGGTCCTTCAGTTCCATCGTTGAGGTCGCCCGCTTCCTGCTACAGCAGCATCTCATCTCTGCCCGATCTGCACATGCCCATGTGCTCAAGGCCATGGGGCTTGCTGGTGGGTGGACCCTCTCTTATGTCCTGAGAAACCCTCGGCCACTTTCAACTTAAGAGGCCCTCCCACATACCAGGATAGAGACACCTTGGATTTGCCTTCTCTTCCTAGAGACCCTTCTAGGACATGCCTTAGACCACTTTCTTTCCCCTGCCTCTACCAGTCAATCAGAACCGCCTCACTTCCTCCATTCTGTTTCCTCCTCACCCTCACCTTATTACCTTTTCCGGCACCTCCGCAGAAGAGGACGAACATGCCCCTCGAGAACGGTCATCTAAATCCAAGAATGGTGTAGAGAACCTAGAGGGTGGAGCCCATAAGAAACCAGAGAGACGGGCCCAGGTAAGGAAGTTGATGCCCCTGACCTTGCTGCCCTGGGCTGGGGGCTTAGTATACCCTTCCCCCAGTGGGTCCTGCACTTTTTCACCTCCTGGGCCTGTGTTTCCTCTGATGTCCAGTCTTCCCACTTACTGTGTTCCTTTCTTTACTTTTTAGCCTCCTAAAGACGTGGAACCCCGGGCTGGGGCTGGCCCTGCAGCACGCGGAGAGCGGAAGAAAAGCATAGTGGAGAGCCCGGCCCCAGCAGCCAATAACCCGCAGGTTAATGCCCTGGTGGCCCGGCTGCCTCTGCTTCGCCCTCGGGCCCCTCGCTCGCTCATTCCGCCAATCCAAGTCTCTCCACCCATCCTGGCCCCCAGGCTTTCTTCAGGCGCTCTGAAAGTAGCGACGCTGCCTCTGCCCAGTAGGGCTGGGGGACCCCAGGCAGCTGTGCCCATCATTAATATGATCTTACCAACTGTTCCTGCTTGGCCTGGGTCTGGGCCTGGGCTTGGGCCAGCTCCACCTGGGGGGCTCACTCATCCGCGGGGCACAGAGAATAGGGAGGTAGGCATAGGTGGTGACCCAGGACCCCATGACAAGGGTGTCAAGAGGACAGCTGAAGTACCTGTGAATGAGGCCAGTGGGCAGGACCCACCAGCTAAAGCAGCAAAGCAGGATATAGAGGATACAGGAAGTGATGGCAAAAGAAAACGGGGGCGCCCTCGAAAAAAATCAGGTGGAAGTAAGGAAAGGAATTCTACCCCTGACAAGTCAGCAGCTGCTATGGACTCTGCCCAGTCCTCAAGGTTACCACGGGAGACATGGGTCTCTGGAGGGGAAAGCAACTCAGCTGGAGGGTCAGAGAGGCCAGGCCCAATGGGAGAGGCTGAGAAGGGGACGGTGCTTGCCCAAGGTCAGGAAGACGGTGCTGTTTCCAGAGGAGGAAGGGGCCCCAGTTCCCGGCATGGCAAAGAAGCAGAACATAAAATTCCTCATGTCACCCCGAAAGTGAGTGTCATCAAGGGCAGTAGAAGCCAAAAGGAGGCTCTTCATTTGGTAAAGGGAGAGTTAGACACTGCAGCACAGGGTAATAAAGACTTAAAGGGGCATGTGCTTCAAAGTTCCTTATCCCATGAGCAGAAAGACCCCAAAGCAACACCCCCGTGATAGGAATGTGGGGAAGAGTGTTCACATCATATGTTAACTCTACCTGTCCGCCTAGTAGAGGCCCTTCTCTGCACTTGCTTCTCCTTTGGCTCTTCTTTTCTGAAGAGAATTTATGCTATTCTGTATAGACAGCTAAGGCACCCTGTCCTACACAGTGCTTGGTTCCTGCCTCTGACCTTTCCAGCTCAATACCCTTGGCTTTAGAGTCACTAATAAATCTGTAGTGACCATCTTACCTGGATCCCTGTGCTATCCTGTGAGAAGATAGGGATGGAATAAGTATGATGAATGTCTAAGTTAGGAATCTTTTGGTTTTAAATCGTAGAAAACCTAACTTAAACTGGCTTAAAAATAAAGATATATTGGCTCATGCAACTGGAAAGTCCAGAGGTAGTGCTGGCTCCAGTAAAGCTGATCCAGTGGCTCACTATGTCTCTAAATACCTGGTTGACTTTTTACCCTGCTGCTCTACCTTCTGTAGGCTCATCTTAAGCCTGGGCCGCCTCATGGCTGCCAGCACTCCTACTATTACATGTTTCTTCATTTATGTTCAACCAGAAAGAGAGGGCATCTTTGTGTGGGAATCCTAGCCAAAACCCTCACTCTGATTAGGCCAGCCTGGGTCACATGTCCACCCCAAACCAATCACTGTGGCCAGGGATGGTATATGCTAATTTGCTTATTCTACATCATGGACTGCACTTGTGGAAAAAAAATGCCTCCTGAGAATCACATAGATCCCCAAATGGAAACAGGGAGGGGGGGTCTTGGGGAGGCAGCTGACACCTACCACTACTATGAAGCACATGTGGTTTTAGCTTGCTAGGTTGAGATCAGCTGTACCTCCTTCCTTTTTTTCTCATAGTCTTGGATTTTCCTTACTGCAGTTCTAATTTCTTTCCTCTTGTTCTAGTCTCAAGAGGAATGAGAGGGAAGTCACTCTACTTTGGGGACTATCTCTTTAGTCTCATTTAGATGACTATCTAAGTTTTTTCACCTATATTTCAGAGATGGAACTTCTTCCTTTTCCTATTTTCTGAATTTTAGTTTCCTCCTCATTCCTGCTTCCTTATCCCTCACCCTACTGCCACTTTCATCAAGTAGAGTGAAAGATTTACTTCCTAGTCATTTTATTAAATTCATTCTGTATCCACCAGGTGTCAGTCTCTTGTCATACATGTGTCAGGACTTAGCCAGGATTGTGGGGTTTAGGCTAGGTGTATGGAAGGAGGTAGCTCTGGATATCAGGGAGCACCAATGGGGAGGGAATCCAGACCCTCCAGGTGGATCCTTGGGAATAGCAGTAAACCAAACAATATTTATTGAGGACCTACTTTGTCTTCTGCATAGGGTAGCTTCCGTCAGGGAATCTTGGTTCTGCCCAAGAAATATAGATTTTCTTTCAGGGAGACTTCATTCATTTGTTCATTTATTTCCACCACAGCAGATTTTTTAAAATTATAATATGTAATATTTTATATATATAAAGAATATATTTAAATGAATAAATTATGAAGCATAATAATTAAATGAGTACCTATGACCCATCACTCAATTTACACATTAAAACATTAGAAATACCATTGAGTTTCTTGTGTTCCTCTCCTATCCTCTCTGCCTCTCCCTAGAGGTAACCACTGTCCTTAATTTTGTGTTTATTAATTAACTGCTATTTATATGTATTTAATCATAAATGTATATATCCTTTAAAAATGTTCAGTTTTGCTTTTTAGCTTTACAAAAATTTTATACTCTAATAGTGCCCTGCAGTTTGCTTTTTTTCACTTAACATTATTTCTAAGATTCATCCATGTTGTAGATAGCTATGATTCATTCACTTTCATTTGTATAATATTCCACAAGGGCATAAACCACAACTTATTTATCCAGTCACCTATCAATGGACATTTGGGTTCTTTCCAATTTTTGCTGTTACAACAATGCTGCTATGAACATTCTTGTACATGTCAGTGCCTTTGTTTTTAGTAAGATTTCTAGAAAGATTTCTAAGATGGTTCTTTTGGTCTCTATACTTTCTTGAGTTGGGGACTGTTCCCTCCTGTCTTATTCTTTGGAAGAGTTTACATCAGATTGAAATGAACTGTACCTTGAAATTTCGGTAAAACTCACCTGTTAAGCCATCTGAGCCTGGCATTTCTTTGTGGGAAAAATTTTAACTATTGATCCAATTTCTTTAATTATAGACTATTTGGGCTTTCTATTTCTTCTTGAGTCAATTTAGGTAAAGTGTTTTTCTAGGATTTTGTGCATTCATGTCTTTTTTCCTAATGAAATTTCTTCTATTTTCTTTTTTGCCTCTGCTCTCTGGGTAGTCATGACCTCTTTTTCATTTCTCTTGTTTACTTGTGCCTTCTTTTTTTTTTCCCCTTGATCAGATGCACCAGAAATTTATTAATTTACTTGTCTGTCTTCAACTACTACTTTGTGCTTTGTGGATTCTCTCTCTTATGTATTTGTTTTCCATTCATTAATTATGGATCTTATCTATAGTATTTCCTTTCTTCTGCTTTCTTTAGATTTAATTTTATGTTCTTTTATAACATCTTAATTTTGACACATCTAATTAATTTTCAAGATGTCTTTTTTTTATTGTAAGTTTTTAAGGACATGCTTTTCTACATTCCCCAAGTTTTTCTGTTGTATTTAAATTATTATTTCTAGGAATATTTAAATTACCTTTGTGACTTTTTTGATTCATTAATTATTTAGAAAAGTTTTATGAATTTCCAAATGTCTAGATATTTAAAAATTTATCTTTTTGATATTGATTTTCAGTTTAATCATTTGTGCTTAGAGAATGTGGTCTCTATGATACCAATTCTTTGAAATTTGTTGGGATTGTTTTATATTCTGTAACTTATCTTGGATGTCTAAATCTGTTTTGATGTTTTCTGTTGACTCTTGCCCATGGTAGCTTGTTTCCTTGTATATTTTGTATTTTGGGGTTTTGAGCTCATATTTTGTTCAATTTAATCTATGGGAATCCAGAGGACCTAAGTTGCGGGCGCTTTACTCCAAAGAGGATTTGCATTTACTTCTGTGAGCAGCCAAAGGGTACTCCTGACCTGGAACTGTGTTAGCCCCTTCACAAGTCCCTGTTTAATTCAGAAGCCCCAGGTTTTCTCCCTTTCCTTGGCTAGGCCCAAAGTTTAGCTTCTGTTCAGAATACTGATATTGGCATTTGTTCCCAAGGCAGACCTGCTTTTCCTACTGCAAGTTGCTCATCCTTCATATAGGTTTCAGCTTAATGTTATATTTTCTTCCTTGAGTGATTTTTCTTACTTTCTAATGAGCCCAGCAATATACTAAACATTATATTTGCTTTAATTTATCCAGAACCAAGTTGTATTTTAAGGGGAGAGCCCTTTGTTTTATCCGTGCTGCCAGAAGTAGGAGTCCATTACTGTGGTTTTGATATTTTCCATCTTGTTTTGTTTTTGTGTGTGTGTGAGGAAGATCAGCTCTGAGCTAACATCCATGCCAATCCTCCTCCTTTTTTTTTTCACTGAGGAAGACCAGCCATGAGCTAACATCTATTGCCCATCCTCCTTTTTTTTCTTTTTTCCCCTTTTTCTCCCCAAAGCCCCAGTAGATAGTTGTATGTCATAGTTGCACATCCTTCTAGTTGCCATATGTGGGATGCGGCCTCAACATGGCCAGACAAGCGGTGTGTCGGTGCCCGCCCGGGATCCGAACCCGGGCCGCCAGTAGCGGAGCGCACTCACTTAACCGCTAAGCCACGGGGCCGGCTCTCCTTGTTTTGTAAATGCTAGGCACTTGTTAGAAGCTAGTTGACTTAGACTCTGTTTTCAAGTCAATAATGATCACAGCTCAGCATGAGTTATGTTGGCAGTAAGCACAGAGAACTGTGGGAGACCAGAGGTAATAGCTTATAGGTCAGACAGGGTTCAGGGATGCCTTCCCAGCAGAGGTGAGTAGGAGTTAGCTGGATAAGTCTAACTTATAAAGCAAGGACGAACAACACAGACGTAGGTTTAAAAGTGAAATCATGATACTCGTTCTCCTGCATAAGAGCTGTAAATTCAGAGAGATCACTTTGGGCTGAGTAATTTGGGAAGGTTTCATGAAAAAGGTAGGCTTGAGTTAAGCCTTTAAGGTAAGCAGAGCTTGGATAGATGAAAAAGAGGAGGGCATTCCAAGAAAAGTAGGGGTTTGGGGATGTGGGATGTGAATAAAGCCATAGCCATACAACCTAGTAAATCGACTTGTCAGGCAGAAGGGATGTGTAAGAACAACAGTGAGAAATAAACTAGAAGAATATACAACCATTATAATTATCTATTGATTGAATAAATGAATGAATGAATGGTACGCAGTTTGCATTAAAGGATGGAGGAACTGGAGTCAAAAGGAACCAGCCAGGTTCTTTTTTCACACAGCTCTTGCTGTTATCCATGTGGGAGGAGATGAGGAACTGCACCAGGCTGCTGACACATTAGAGGTGATACGCATATGGGAAAATAAACCACTGGTGATAGAATTGACAGAAGCATCCAAGGAAATATTGTCCCCACCACGACTGGGTTTGGGGGTGTATCCATTCACTTTGAGAGACCAGGCCACTGGATGATTTTGAGATTTGCATGAATGTTACAGGGTTTTTAAGTAGCCTATTTTAAAAATTTATCCTATTTTAAAAATCTAACATGAAACAAGTTATTCTTTTATAGTGCAGGCAATCTTCAGTTCATCAGATGAAGGGCTAAACTAAGATTTGGGGGACTGCCTATTCCTTCCTCTCTACCATTCCTCATTCTCTCCCCAGTACCCCATTCCCCACTCACGATACCTTTCCCCCCATGTTGTCTTTCTTCATTTCATAAATTAAGCCCTATCATAAATTAAGTTAAAGATAATTTATAATTTACTAAAATTTGAAATCGTTTGCCATTAAACCAAGAAAAACTCTACATGTCTAGCCTATGACCCCAAATAAATGACTTTGTTGTTTATTTTTTGTGGATAACAATCAACTTTCTTTAGAAATCAAAGCAGATGCCACATTTACTCACATACTGAACAGGGGAGTTAATGTCATGACATATTTGTCTAAGTGTTTTGTTTCACATATAGTTCCTCAGGAGGCCTATTCCTTCTTTGTCTAGGATCATCTTGCTGGCTCCATCCTATGAGATAAAGCTAAGCCTGACATATATAATACAGCATTTCTTAAGAAATGTTCATAAGGAGGCATTTGTTTACTGGAAAGAGCATAACTTCAGATCTTAGCTTTACGACTTTCTGTATGATCCTGAACATTTATTTAGTCCAGTTTTTTCAAACTGTAGATTGCAACCCATTAGTGAGTTGTGAGACTGATTTAGCAGGATGTAAAATGGTATTTTTAAAAAGTGAAATAAAATAGAATAGAAAATATCAGAGTGCATTGCACATGGTAAGGGTAAGTAAGTATTGGTTCATGAAACTTTTATTTCAGTGAAGACATGTCTATGTGTTCTTCAGTGGTCAGAATATAAAATGTATTATTGTGGGTTGAAGGAAAACAATTTTGAAAAACAATGACTTACCCATTCTGAAGCTCAGTTTCCATAAAATGGGATAAAAATCTCTTTCACAGGTTGTAATGAGGAATAAATGAGATAATGTTTGTACTCATACACAGTAGGGGCTCGAGCAATAACTGCTAGCTTCTTTTTCTTTTCTCTGAAAAAAGACCCATAATATCTATGGTTCAGGAAAAAAAAAATCACTCTATAATTTCTTCAACCACAACGGTGTTTAAAATAGAACGGGAGAGGGGCCGGCACCATGGCTTAGTGGTTAAGTGCATGCGCTCCGATACTGGCGGCCCGGGTTTGGATCCCGGGCGTGCACTGACGCACCACTTGTCAGGCCATGTTGAGGCGGCGTCCCACATACAGCAACCAGAAGGATGTGCAACTATGACATACAACTATCTACTGGGACTTTGGGGAGAAAAAGGGGGTAAAAAAAAGGGAGGAGGATTGGCAATAGATGTTAGCTCAGGGCCGGTCTTCCTCAGCAAAAAAAGAGGAGGATTGGCATGGATGTTAGCTCAGGGCTGATCTTCCTCACAAAAAAATATATGTGTATAACGGGAGCTATAGTATGACCTAGGTCCTCCAGTTTTACCAACTTTTGATGAATAAGCCAACTTCTTTCTCCAATTTCATGAAATTTAAGATAAATAAATGACACTACCTGACCCTGTTGGGACTTTCCTGCCCTCCCTACTTTCCTGCCACACACATCCATACTTTCCCACCAAAGCAAGAGGCTTCACATGCACACAGGACAGTATCGGTTCCCATAGGATCACATGTCATCCATGTGCAGCAGCTCCCTGGGACCTAAGATAGAGGTAAACAGTATTTTTTTTTTTTTCCCATCAAATGAGAATTTTAAAAAGGTTCAGTATAGTGAGGAATTTTAGAGAACATCATAAATGTTACACTTTTAATTTAATATGGGAAACAAAGAATAGCATTCAGTTTTATAATTTGACAGTTAAAGAGACTGAGGAGAAAAGAAGAAAAGCAAATAGGAAGGGGGGAAAGAAAAAATAATTTAGAGGGGGCCGGCCCCGTGGCTTAGCGGTTAAGTGCGTGCGCTCCGATAATGGCGGCCTGGGTTCGGATCCCAGGTGGGCACTGACGCACCGTTTCTCCGGCCATGCTGAGGCAGTGTCTCACATACAGCAACTAGAAGGATGTGCAACTATGACATACAAGTATCTACTGGGGCTTTGGGGAGAAAAAGGGAAAAAAAAGGAGGAGGATTGGCAATAGATGTTAGCTCAGGACCGGTCTTCCTCACCAAAAAAAAAGAAGAGGATTAGGCATGGATGTTAGCTCAGGGCTGATCATCCGCACACACAAAAAAATAATAATTTAGAATATTTATTTGTAAATTTTTTTTTTTTTATTTTTTTTTCCCCCCAAAGCCCCAGTAGATAGTTGTATGCCATAGTTGCACAGCCTTCTAGTTGCTGCATGTGGGACGTGGCCTCAGCATGGCCGGAGAAGCGGTGTGTCGGTGCACACCCGGGATCCGAACGCGGGCCGCCGGCAGCAGAGCGCTCGCACTTAACCGCTAAGCCATGGGGCCGGCCCCTAAATATTTTTAATTTATTGATTCACTTATGGAAAAACTATTTTCCCAAACCAAAAAAAAAAAAAAAAATCAGTTGGCATTGTTTTACATTTTTGGAAATCTTTTTAATGCCTGATTGGATTCTCATATCTGCTTCTGCATTCAATCTGTTGCTATACAGCCAATATATATATTTTTTCTATGTTAGAAACTAAGGATACAGCTAGTATACAAGGATGAATCCTTTCCTGCCTTGAGGAGCTCAGACTAGAGGAGTTTGGAGACTCAGAGAAACAAAGGGTAACCAAAAAGAATTCCAGAAGTCAGAAAGAAAAAGTCATAAAGAGATGCAAAGAAATTTACACATATGAGCCCTTAGAGCTATAAACATAGAAAACTTGAAACAAACTCTTCTACTTAATATCCTGTGTGTGTGTGTATGGGAGGGGGTCTCACTGGGTTAATAAAGGACTTATAACTGCCTGAAGCTATAAAAGTTCCTAGTAAAGTCTGAACAGAGATTTTCCTGAAATCTTGGTTTTTTCGTCATTGGAAAATAAACTTCCTATTATAAAAAGTAGGGCTGTCACATCTCTTTTTACAGTGTTTCAAAAAGTTGGTCATATGGCCCTTTGGAACCCTACCCCTCGAGGAGATGGATGTGTGAGGATGTGTGACATTTTAAACTCTAGGCTAAAGCAGGGTTATCACCTCTTGGTAGTTGCCTGACAGCTGACTGGAAGCTGGCCAAGAGCCGCTGGGCCTGACAGGTGGACTGGTGATTCCCCACTCCAGACCAGTGGTGACAAATTTAAACTATCTTTGGCACTCTCAGCTTCTTTCTCTGCTCATCTTTCATTACTGTATTCCTGCTTTAACCTAGCTTATCAGTCTGCCTTCTCCTTGTGATTTGAGCAAATTCACATTTCTATTCTTCAACATACAATTGTTTAGCCTTCAGAATGCTCTCTGCTCTTTCTTGTTCTGCTGGATCATATATAATATCTCTTCTAAAACCTGGCTCACAATATTTTTGAGAAGGCTTCCATTCATTCATTCACCATATACTGAGTGGCTACGCCTTCTGCATTAATTAACCATACTCCTCTATGTTCCTTCAGCAATTAGGTACTCCATTTGTTTTACTTTTGTACATATTGCATGTTTTACATAGATATCTTGAAGCTATTACTCTTTATTCTGCCTCCCAATTAAACATGGAAGCAGTGACCTCTTCTTTCATCATCTATCCTATATTATTGTCCCAATAATAGTAATACAGTACCATGGTAGGAATCTGTACTCTCTCTTTAAATCCTCACAAAACCCTGTAAAGTGTTAGTATTCCTGGATCCACTTTGCAGACATAGAAACTGAGGTTCAAAGAGGTTAAATCAGTCACCCCAAATCAAACAGCCTTTAAGTGGCAGGGAAGGTGGCATCCAAGATTTGGGCCCAAATAACTAGTCTCGATGTAGAATATTAAGTAAGGCCCATGAGGGATGGGACTGAGGTTCTGAGGGCGAGGGCTCCCAATCAATAATGCTAATAAACAAATACACAAAACCAACACCAGAGGTCCGTGAATAGGGCGTGTTTTTGTTTATTTGTTTTATACGGTTTTGTTTCTGAAGAGGGGTTGTGCTCTCCAAGCCTCTGTCATTTCACTCACCTCTCCCAAACTGGCTCTGTTCAGCCCCTCTCCGGAGGGATCGATGTCCAGAGGCTGGAGGCCAAAGGCTGACCAGGCAGGTGGTGACATCGGAGGCAGAACCGCGGCCTCCAGTCGCACCGCTAACGGCGAAAGATTGACCCGGTTGGATCACGCCATTCCCGAAGCGATAAGGAGCTTAATCTTGGCATCGTCCTTAAAGATAAATAGAAAAAGGAGAGTGAGGGTGACTATCCTCCCCGCCCGCCCTCTCTCTTTCTCTTCTCCCCACTGGGCCTCCAGTGTCCATCCCGCGGCCTGATTTACTAAGGGAGTCGTGTGGAACAAGGGAGGGGGGAAAGCCAATGATTGCAATTATGATAACTCGGTTGCTAACTCAAATAGACTCATTTACATATAATTCGCATGTTCGTGTATTTATGGAAGTACGCAGTATGTCTGTACTTCTCCTCTAACAGAGCACCCACGCCCGCCTGCCCCCTGCCGGTCTCTACTCTAGCCCAGGAGCCCCTGCCCCTTATCCAGCAAATTTTACTTCCCTGTCGGCTTCCTTAGCCTCGCAAACGCTATCACTTAGGTCTGCCTCCAAAGATTAGCCCCTCCTCCTACCCGTAGGCTCCTCCCTTCGTCCTCTCCTCCCTCCCCAGCTTCCAACTATCTCTTCCCCGCCCCTTTTTCCATTTCTGAACAGGCATGTTCCAGGCAGCTCACCCGACTCCTTAGAGTACCATGGGATCTGTAGGGTCCTGAGCGTCGGAGAAGCAGGAAAGCATATCCAAAAACGAAGGGCTTGCATTCAGAAGAAGAATCGAGCCCTGCTGGGGATTTTTTTCTTTTTTTTTTTGGTCTTGGTTGTGCGGACGGAGGAAGAGGAGGTTTTGCGGCCCAGTCGAACTTGAGGCAACGCGAAGGACCCTTCAGGCGGCGCCGAGGGCAGCCCCGCAGCCGGGGCCTGGTGCAGCCGCCGCGGCCGCTGTCAGGGAAGCGCAGGCGGCCAATGGAACCCGGGAGCGGCCGCTGCTGCTGAGGCGGCGGTGTCGGCAGCCCGACCCCGACCGCCCGCACTCCCTCCGCGGGGGTCCCCCGGAGGTAAGCGACTCCTACTGGGTGAGTCCTCCTTGTCCTGTGTGTTGGGGGGTCCCTTTCTCACCCTGTCCCGCATAGCCGCCCCCCGCCCCCACAGCTGTGTTCGACTAGAAAACTGCCCTCCGGGTGGCAGCTGCACCCCGGTTCCTTCTCCACCCTTTCCTCTCAAGCCTGGGGTCCTCCTTTGCTTTTTGGCTTCCTCTTCTATTTAGCTCCTCCCTCCGTCCCGGGGATTCCCCCCTCCCTCACTCTTATCCCTGTTGCCTCCGTCCCGAATTATCTTCTCTTAAGTCGTGAACTCTTTCCACATCAGGACGCCTTTTATAATGTCGACCCTCGTTTGTCCTTCCTCGTCGTGTGTGCTCCTGCCCCAAACCATTCTCATGGCCTCCACCTTTATCCCTTTTCCTGTTTTGCCTCTTTCCTCCGATGTTTCTGTGCAACCCCAGCACTGGGTTCCCATTTCCCTGGGCTAAAGATTGTAGCCCTCTCTTCCTCTGCTGCTTCTGATTCCATTACCTCACTGCCACCCACCCACCCTGCTCCTGGCTTCCAAGAATTGCCTATTCCCCTTTCCTTAAGGGATCTCAGGCCCTCATCACCATTCCCAAAGTACAATTTGCATTCTACTTTGACCTTAATCCTTACGCTTTTTCTCAGGAGTGCTTTATGATCCCTGTAACTTTCTTTAGCTTCCCTTTCCTCAATCCTCCAACCTCTGGAGGTTTGTTCCTATAGAAGAGAGAGGATCTGACAGTGTCCCTTCCCGTTAAAGATTTCCAACTTTGACACCTTCCCTTTTTTTTTTAATTTTTATTTATTTATTTTTTCCCCCCAAAGCCCCAGTAGATAGTTGTATGTCATAGCTGCACATCCTTCTAGTTGCTGCATGTGGGACACGGCCTCAGCATGGCTGGAGAAGCGGTGCGTCAGTGCACGCCCGGGATTCGAACCCCGGGCCGCCAGCAGCGGAGCGCGCGCACTTAACCGCTAAGCCAGGGGGCCGGCCCATACACCTTCTCCTTTGAGTTTCAAGGATTTTGCTGATCCTTGTGAAACTTGGTTCTGTTTTCCTTCATGGTCTTTATGTGTTCTCTGTCACACTCTTTATCTCCACATATCACGTATTTCAGGATCAGCTAAACCTTGAACTAAGAAGAAAATGTGTTGGGAGGAAGGGGAGCCTCAGCTCTCTCAGGCTTTTCTGGACAGAGGGTGTTTCTGAAGGATGGAGCAAGTTTTGAAGTCCCTATCAGATTACACTTTGTTGACTACTCAGGATCAGCCACTAGGAGGGATGAACAAGCCTGCATGGGAACTGAATGAGGTTGTGAGAAATTTTGTTTTGGGTTATTTAATTTTAGGCTTGTCTTAAAGGGATCACAGAATAGAGTGTCTTCCCACACCTGTCCAGATCCAAGAGGAATCAGTTTACTGTCTGTGGCTTACTAAAATAGTTTTGGTTGATTCCATAAGCGCTTAGGCCTGGGGTGGGATTGGGGCTAACTGGGAAAAGGAACATGAGACAATGGAAAGAGCTTGTACATTCAGAATCAGGACACCTAGGTTCAGCATGTGACTTCCTCGCTTGACCTCTAGAGTGACCTATTTGGGAAAATGGCCCACTCTATAAGCATCAGTGCAGTAATAGCTAATAACAGGATGTGGGTTTGGGGGGAAATTAGACTTGGTTTATTTGTTTACAAAACATTCTTAGTTCCTCAGACAAAAGGTATTTATTAGTAGTGGTTTAGTTGTCCTGAGAATTTTCCTTCATCTTGGTCTCTCTGTTGGGTCGTTCTAGTCTACGACCATGGGGGTAAGTCAGTTTGAGAGACAAACTCTAGGCCTGCTTCTTTCATCTACCTTGCTTTTTTTCCCACTGCATTAAGTTGCTGAGCACCTGTGCTGTTCCTCTTATACTTGAACCATAACTCCAGATTCCATAGGTTGAAAGTATGTTTGTAGAAAAGCCCTTTGAGGAAGCTGGCTGGAAAAGAGAACTTGGAGTGAGTTGAGACTTAAGAAACTAGTTGCTCCCTTTATGCCATGTCTCTCTCGGCCTGCAATAGCGAAGAGGGCACGTGAAGTTCCATTCATCTTCTGGCTCTAGGCCTGTTTGAAAGTAATCATGCTATCTTGTCCCACTTTTCCCTTATCTCCTTCCTCATTACCCAGAGTGTAGTCTACTCATAATCCCCCTTTTTAGGAGCAACTTCACTCCTTGGAAGCACTCCCAAAGAGAAATCATATTTCCCCTAGTTTCCCTACTTCCTTCTCAGAGCTGAGTCCACACTGCATGAGAACATGTTTGCTGAACACCATCCAAAGCAGCAAATTGAGATTCTTTCATTTGGGGAAGAAGTTTGGGAGAAACCTTTCAGTAATTGGCATGAGACAAGAGAGGGCCTAGTCTACGCGCATTTGGGGCTTTCAGCAGGGAGGAACAGTTGAAAGAGAGGTGAGCATGCAGGTTGCTTTCTTTGCCATCTGTCTGTTTCAGCAGGGGCTCTCAGAGCTGGCTTGGGCTGTCTGGCTGGAATCTGCTTATACCAGCTCCATGGCCCTGCACAGAGAGTTCTCAGCCTGATTCAATATTGACTTAACTATCCTGAGACCACTACCCTCCCTACCTCCTGCTGGTACCTTAAGAATGCCCTCTCCCCTGATGCCAACCCCCCTTGGGGCCTTGGGTAAGCATTTACCTGATTCCTGGTAGGGCTTGAGCCTGCTTGACTGCTCGGTCTTACGTTTCTACAAGGAAAAAGTAGTACTCAGACCAGGGAAGAGGGCCGGCCCAGTGGCGTGAGCAGTTAAGTACGGGTGCTCTGCTGCGGCGGCCCGGGGTTCACCGGTTCGGATCCTGGGCGCGCCCCGACGCACCACTTGGCAAGCCATGCTGTGGCGGCGTCCCATATAAAGTGGAGGAAGATGGGCACGGATGTTAGCCCAGGGCCAGTCTTCCTCAGCAAAAAAAGAGGAGGATTGGCAGATGTTAGCACAGGGCTGATCTTCCTCACAAAAAACAAACAAACAAAAAAGATATGGGGAGGAACTTCTCAACAGCAGAACAGGCAGCCTAGAGTGATATGGAGTCTCTTTTGAAGAGCAACTCCTTTTTAAAAATCATTATTAAAGGCATATATGGGCCGGCCCTGTGGCTTGGTGGTTAAGTGCGCGCGCTGCGATGCTGGTGGCCCGGGTTCGGATCCCGGGTGCGCATCGAGGCACCGCTTCTCCGTTCATCCTGAGGCCGAGTCCCGCATACAGCAACTAGAAGGATGTGCAGCTACGACATACAACTATCCACTGGGGCTTTGGGGGGAAAAAATAAAATAAATAAAATCTTAAAAAAAAAAAATAAAATAAAATAAAATAAAATAAAATAAAGGCATATGCACACTTGGTAACAAATCCAGTGGTACCTAAGAGTTTATGATGAAGATCAACAGTCCTTTTCCATACATCCCTATAGCTACTCCTTTAGAGTTAACCTCTTGGTTATCTCAGTGTTTGTTTCTGAAGGTTATCGCCATAGCTTTAGATAAAATGTTTGTGCCTCTGTTTCTTGATTTATTCATTGTTACGAAAGAGGATTTAGCTTTAGAGGATTTGCACCTCTTGTTTATATTATTATGTCACTTTTATTTCTACTGGAAACCTTGAATAACATATTTGAACCTCCCTTTCTATTTTTTAAAGAGTGATATAACAGTTTTTAAAATTTATTTATTAAGTTTTTGGTGAGGAAGATCGGCCCCGAGCTAACATTTGTGGCAATCTTCCTCTACTTTGTGTAGGGGATGCCACCACAGCACAGCTTGATAAGCGGTACATAGGTCCACGCCCGGGATCCGAACCTGCAAACCTGGGGCTGTGGAAGCAGAGCATGTGAACTTAACCACTATGCCACCGGGCTGGCCCCTACCTTTCATTTTTATTAACTTTTAACAATCTTTCTTAACTACCCCCCTTGTAGGATGAAGATAACTGGCTCCGCTACCCTTTTTTCCAACTCACATGATCCCTTTCAAAGGGATCTTTTAAAAGGAGGAAAGTTGAGCTCGCCTGTCTGCTCGGAGGCAGAGCACTAAATCAGATGATCTCTTAAAGGCAATTCTATGAAAATGCAGGAACATATAAAAACATGAGGATTGGTTTGAACCAATCCATATTTATCTAGTCCATGGAAAAATATTCGAAGAAGGGTATGGTGATTAACTGGGTGAAGGGATTGATTTGGGGCTCTTTGCTGTTTTGTCCTAGCAGAGACCAATCCAGTAGGTCCTTTATTGGAGGCCAGGAGAGGGTTGTTTGCCTTGAATCTTTTGAGGCGATGAGAAGCGGGAAGCCAGGTTAGGTGATAGCGTCCTCTCCCCTCAGAGTCCTCTGCACACATTTACTTAAATGCTCAGTCACACAGAACACATGCATGTAAACCCTTTCTGTCCTCTATAGCCACTGCTCTGCTCTGCTCTGAACAACCTCCTGATGCTCAGATGAGGATTCCTTCATTGCCCAGACACAAGCTGTGGAGCCCCAGTCAGTTGTCAGCATGCCCCCCCACTCCACCCCGTTTCCTAGAAGCCAGCTACTAGGCTGGGGCAGGGGAGGCCTCTTCAGTTCCCTTCCAGTCTCACCAGAAGTTCAGTTTAGGATCCCAGTGTGAAACGTGGAGCCTCAGTTGTCTGAATGTCACTGAGAGCGATAGGAGTCATTTGATAAAGGTTTGGATTTTCTTCTCTCACTTTTTTCTTATTCTCTGACTTACAAGGGGAAGAGTGGTAAATACAGGACCTGTTCCTTCTTTTTTTCTTTCACTTGCTAGTCCTTTCACTTTCTTTGGAATGGTTACTTATCAAAGCTATATTTTCTTTGCATTTGAAAGTGAATGAATTGATGTTGAGGACCATATCCGGATTTAGGTTTTGGAGAATCCCTTTCCTATTTCTTATTGTCTAAATTGCCAAAACAACCTAAATTCCCTTCAATACCTCCTTCCTCCCATGTCTTGCTTCACATGCAGGCAGTCCCTGAGGCTCAGAAAGGCCGAGAGGGAGACAAGCTCTAGTTTCTAGTGGTAGAGCTGCATATACAGGCGAGGAGTCTAGTTTCCCTGCACCTTTTGACATCGTCTGGTTCCCTGGGAAGTAAAGGTTGCCAAATGGGAGATCTGTTCAGTAGGGAAGTACCCTGAATACTGTGATGAGATTCCTAGCTGAGCCCTGGCATAAAAGAAATGATAGTGTCCTTACCTCCCTTCCTGGTGCCAGTAATAATCCCAATTGTGATCAGTTGGGGCAAGCGTCTGCTGCATTTCCTCTTGAGGTCTGAAATGCCATATGGGAGAATGTCTGAACTTCATTTCCCTTAGAAGTTTTGAAAAGTGGACTTTTAGGAGCTTTTGGTGTCTTGGAGTCTCTGGAGTAAAGGAAAAGGGAAAGATGTGCCAAGCACAGAGAGATCGAGAAAAAAAGAATTGGTTGTATAAAACAATTGAGGCTATCATGTTAGTTTCTAAGTAGACCTAAAAGGTAGTGGTCCCAGTTGAATTAGAATGAACTTCTGGTGCAGAGTGCCCTACGAAGGTGTGGCAGGGAATGATTAAATCTTCCTTCTTATTATTCCTGTGCAACGCATACCTGCAAGTAGAGACAGATCCACACAGGCAGCCATGCTGGTTCTACTGCTCATTGGGCACTGCCTAATTTGGGGAGAGAGCATAGTGAAAGAGTTGCCATTTTTTTTTTATTAACACCAAGCTCAAACTGCATCAGGGAAATTAAATTCAGGGATGAACTTTTTGCATGACAGAGTTGGGAGAAAGATAAACTGAAGTAGCCTTTTTTGGTAATCTCTGAGAACAAAAGAGTTCCCCATCTGTCTTCCTGCAAGATTTTAATGGTGACTGCTGGGAGGCTGGGAGGTAGACTACACAATATTGGGCAGTTCAAAGTAACCGTGACTCTTATTGCAGAGGTGCAAGAAGAGGCACTGGAAGGGTGGGAGTGGAAAACGGGGCTTTCCAGAGTGACTAGAGAATCTGTATCTCAAACCTCCTTCCTCCCACCGAAAGTATATGCACCTAGGTTCACTAGAGTCAAAGGTAATGTCACTAATAGTTGGAAATTACCTGCATTCCGGCTCTACAGTAGCCTCTGCCTTCCTCTTGCTCACACTCTTGAGTGTGCCTTAGACTCACTCGGTTTGCGTTTTTGTGAAGAGGCCTCTGAACCCATTGCTGACTAGAGCCAGACTCTGGAGCTGGGTTGATCTGACATTAGCAACGTGCTTCTCCCAGTCCTTGCTTTGAAATTTTCTCCTGTTCTGCACTGATTCTTCTGATCTGGATTTGGGGAGGCTCTAAAGAATCATTCTAGGAGGGCAGTGGCTTTTGTCGGCAGTGCTCTCTCATTGAATTTCCTTCCGAGAGTTCCTCCAGAGAGGGATTCTTAGTTGTGTGCTTCCTGTGATTCCTGCTCCTCCTTGTTCTTTAGATGTTCTAGACCCATGAATTCCAACCTGATTTCTTGGTGCCTTCTCACAGCCCCTCCAGTCCTTGGAGTGTGTGTATGATAATGAGGAAAGTAGTGTTGGGATAGGAGAGGGCTGTCGTAAATGTTTTGGAAGATTTTCAGATGAATGTAACTGTAATTCACTTCCCTTATAAACAGTATATGCGTGTGTATGCACACACACACACACTGTTTACTAACCTTTTTGGTGATTAGGATCCAACTAGCATTTATTGAGTACTGCTATGTGCCAGGGACTGTGCTAGATCTTTTTACACACACAAAGTTACTTATTCCACACAGCAACAATGAGAAGCAGATATATTTTTCTCATTTTGCAGTTGGAGAAACTGAAACTCAGAAGATGTGTGACCTGCATAAGTTTACACATCTCATAATGGCAGAGCCAGGATTTTGAACCCCAGCCTATTTGACTCCAAGTTCAGGAGTCTTTCCACTATACTTCAGCTGCCACAGCACTGGAGAAAGAGGGAATGATGTCATGAAGTCAGATAAGCAGAGAAATGGCACAACTTCAGCAGGGTTGATGATGGTTGTTTTAGAGCTATTTTCTTCTAAGTGAAACCTGGCATGGTATTTGCTGGCCCTTATTCCTTGGGAGCTTTGAGTCTAATAGGGAAGGTAAGAAAGTATCTGTAACTAGAAAAATACATCAAGACGTTAATACTGAATAAAGGTGAGATGCTCAGGACCTATGTATGGAGTGTTATGTGAGTAAGGAAATACAGTTTAAAGATGAAAAGAAAAAGGTTATTGGCAGGCATTTAAAGGAAGACATGGGAAGAGCCGAAGACAGAAAAGTATGTGAAGAGTTAGGAACAAGGGAATAAGACTAGAATTGCTTCCCAGTCTACCTGAAGAATTTGTAAATCTATATAAACATAACACACATAAAGCAACATTTTGTAAATACAAGTTAAGAACAGAGGCTAAGCCAAGTAACTAAGTGCAGAATGAATGAAGAGTAATGTAGTGATCAGAAGTGGAGGTAGTCAGGGAAAGCTTCCTGGACGGAGATGACTTCATCTGATTTTGAAGGAGTCCAGGGAGACAAAAAGAGAGGAGGTGCCTGGGAAGGTTTCGTGGCAAAGGGAAGACCTGAAGATGGTACCACTAACCAGTGTGTGTATGTGTCTCCCTTTCTGTTCCTTTTTCCCTTCTTCCTCCTGTAGCTTGGAAGCTCCAAGTCTGGCTGTGGCCATGGGAGACACAGTAGTGGAGCCTGCCTCCCTGAAGCCAACTTCTGAGCCCACTCCTGGCCCACCAGGGAATAATGGGGGCTCCTTGCTAAGCGTCATCACGGAGGGGGTTGGGGAACTATCAGTGATTGATCCTGAGGTGGCCCAGAAGGCCTGCCAGGAGGTGCTGGAGAAAGTCAAGCTTTTGCATGGAGGCGTGGCCATCTCTAGCAGAGACACCCCACTGGAGTTGGTCAATGGGGATGGTGTGGACAGTGAGATCCGTTGCCTGGACGATCCACCTGCCCAGATAAGGGAGGAGGAAGATGAGATGGGGGCCACTGTGGCCTCAGGCACAGCCAAGGGAGCAAGAAGACGGCGGCAGAACAACTCAGCCAAACAGTCTTGGCTGCTGAGGCTGTTTGAATCAAAACTATTTGACATCTCTATGGCCATTTCATACCTGTATAACTCCAAGGAGCCTGGAGTGCAGGCCTATATCGGCAACCGGCTCTTCTGCTTTCGCAATGAGGATGTGGACTTCTATCTGCCCCAGTTGCTTAACATGTACATCCATATGGATGAGGACGTGGGTGATGCCATCAAGCCCTATATAGTCCACCGTTGCCGCCAGAGCATTAACTTTTCCCTCCAGTGTGCCCTGTTGCTCGGGGCCTACTCTTCAGACATGCACATTTCCACTCAACGACACTCCCGTGGGACCAAGCTACGGAAGCTGATCCTCTCAGATGAGCTGAAGCCAGCTCACCGAAAGAGGGAGCTGCCCTCCTTGAGCCCAGCCCCTGACACAGGGCTGTCTCCCTCCAAAAGGACTCACCAGCGCTCTAAGTCAGATGCCACCGCCAGCATAAGTCTCAGCAGCAACCTGAAACGAACAGCCAGCAACCCTAAAGTGGAGAATGAGGATGAGGTAAAATTCCTAGGAGGGACAGAGGCATGTTGGCATGGAGACGGGTTGTCTGACATAGGGTTACTTTGTCCTTTTCTTCCCTTTCCTCTGTTTCATTTCACTGATAAAAGCATGGAAAAGCCCTTAGAATTCATGTATTCCAGCTGCCTCATTTTACAAAGGAAGAACTCAGAGACCCAGAGAGATAAAGTGACTTGCCTCAGGTCATATAGCTAATAGCAAGGCTGATACTCCTGACTCTATCCAATGTTGTTTTTACTAAACTGCACTGCCATTCCATTAACTACTTATTTACTGAGAACTGTGGCAGACACCCTCCTGACCCTGACTTGAGATCTGGAATATCTACCAGAACCTCTCAGAGCAGCAACCATGGGGGAGGGAAAGGGACTACAGGTGTGAATTGTGTGTGTGCTGGGGCAGGGGAGATGTTAAATACAACCTCAGCTCCATTCTCCTGGCTCCTCTTCATAATTCCTCTCCCCTACTCCCTGGAGATCCTGCTTTTTGTTGACATAAGGGTAAAGTTCATTCCCTATCACCCAGGCATTTGCAGAATGCCCTCCTGCCTGCCTTTCCTTGGGGGAAGGGATGTCTTGCTGGTGTCTTTGCCATATCATTTGGGAGAAGTACAAAGAGAAGAGGGAAACAATCTTGGTATAGAGTAAATCTCAGGCATACTTAGTGTCTAATCAAGGACCTGAAGGCTAGAAAGAACAAGTTACAGCAGTAGTTGGGGGTATCTAATTTAGGATATAGAGCAAGGAGGAGATGAGCACATCAGTAGGTTATACGCACCTGCCATTCCACATCTGGACAGATAGCAGGAAAAGTTACCCAGTGGACAACCAAGTGTCAGTGACCTGGTGTCCCAGCCAGACAGTGGTGCCCCAGTCCCCACCTCTGACTCACCACCAGCCTGGCTCCATCCTGGCTGCCATCCCAGCCTAGGAAAGAAGGGTGAAAAGAATGAGGAATTTGCACTTGTTGGGAAATGCATATCAGCCATGGTGCTGGAATCTGCCACTGTGGGACACATAACCCACCCACGTTTTTGATACAATGGGACTTCTTTCAAGAAGGAGGTCAGAGTGACTAGGGAAGGGAAAAGGCAGGAGGGAGGGAGACTACAGAGCCTGCTCTCTCTCTGGAAATTTGATATTTTATGATAATTTAATGATAGTGAAGCTAAAAGAGCTAACAGTTATTGAGCACTTACGTGCCAAGTGTCACGTCAAGTACTTTACATTTGAAAAGTACATTACATATGAAATCATTCTCACAACCCTAAGAGACAGGTATTATTTTACCATTGAGGAAACAGGCTTAGAGAGGTTAGATGATTTGCCCAAGGTCTCTCAACTAGTGAATGTCAGACCAGGCCTCAAATTACAGCTGGTGCTCCTAGTCATTGAGCTGAGCTATCTTGGTTATTTCTTAGCAGCTGCTTTCCCAGGTCCTCAGCCGTCAGAGTCCATGTAGGGAAGAACGGCTTAGGCTTTGACCATCTAGGCTTCCACATGCATGCACAGGCAGAGCCCAAGCTGTTCTCAGAAGCAGAATGGACCATTTTCATTTCTGGTTGAGCTTGTCAGGGAACCCCAGGATCATGAAGGGAGGTTGTGCAGAGTAAGAAGAATCATCCAGATCTGGTGGACTAAGGTTGTGAAGCGTTTGGGAGCTCCTCTGGGGATCAAGCCTGTAGCAGTAGGAGTGTGTGCGGCTAAAAGTGAATCCCTTGGTGCCTCTTGTCGGGCTTGGCTTTTCTCTGTACGTATTTTGTAGTTCTCATCTTAGGACCAGAAAAGCTGAGGCCTTGGGGCTTTTCTTACTCTGTGCTAGTCCTCGGTCCCTCTTCCATGCATCTAACTCCTGCCCAGGATGGGATTATGGATGACACTGAGAGGCAGGTATTCTGTGAGTTCTTAAATCCTCCAGGGTGGCTTGTTCAGTTGCCATTCTTCCCAACTTGGCTCCTTTATCCTGGGTCACTAGATCCAGGTAAGGAAGGAGATAGCACGCCCCAGGTACTCCTGGGTTATCTGATGCTGGCGGAATGAGACATGTGAACCCACTCTGTCTCCTCAGGAAATGTGAGAGCCAGAATGAGAGAGAATAAATATGAATCTCACTAGGGGTCTAAGCCTTGGAGGCTCAGCACAGAGGTCTCTCTCCCAACCCCTTTGGCATTTTGAGGATACGTCTATCAAGGCCTGTGTCCCCCCAAATACTAAGGGACTTGGTTTTTCTTCTTCTCCTCCTCTTTCTCCCCTGTCATGCAACATTCATTCACTCAACAAATAGTTATTGAGCTTGTACATTGTGCCAGAACCTTGTGCTAGAGGCAGTGGAGGATGGAGGATAAAATGCTCTCCTTCCCTCCAGGAACTTATAAGGTATATGGAGACCCCATTATCTATGGAACTGTTGAGTTTGTGACTCTTGATTTTGTATCCTGAAACTTTACTGAATTTATGAGTTCTAACAGTTTTTTGGTGGAGTTTGTGACTCTCTTGAAAAGTTGTTTCCTGCATATAAGGAAGAAGTATACAGCTTACTAAAACAAAGTACATAAATATCTAAGGTCTGAGCAGAGACTCTATAGAAGGAGAGTCTCTGGGTGGGACCTGACGCTCTGCTCCCCATCTCCTGCTTTCCCTTTGGGTTCTGATTTTAATCCTACACTCCTACTGTCGGTAGAGGAGCTCTGGAAGGTGAAGTGAGGCCTCAGAGAAGAGGCCCAGGGGCTGCTTGTATAGCTCTCTTTCTGCCTGGAGTCTCCCTGCAGAGCTTTACTCTGCCCAGATCTCATAGAAGGCTCTATTTTCTTTTAATGAGGAATCCTTTACACTCTCTCCTCCAATCAGAGGTCTCTAGCGCTGATTTCTCCCATCTCCACCACCACTCCCCCGACCCTGCCAAAGCCCACCCCTTCAAAGCACTTTTTATCAGCCTAGTCCGGGAACTCGGCTCAGGCAGTTATCCTTCCCATTTGTAACCAAGTGTAAATATTTTGGCATAGAGTCGGGGCACAGGGAGCAGAGAGTGATGTAGGTACCACCCCTATTCCACACCCTGCCCCACATAATGACACTTGCAGTAGATCAGCTTTGTCTTTTCAGCACTGCATCTTTTGTGCAGAGAAATCTGCTGCATATCACCCTAGAAGCCCCACTGGGCCTTCCAGCCTGATGTGTTGTGATGTCAGCTTCTTGGCCTTGGCTTTTCTCCTTGGAGCTGACTCAGGATGAGTGACTCAAGCCCACAGACTAGGAAAGAGGAGCGGGTTATGATATGCCTCCCCTCCTCCAAGGCTGTTAATGAGTCAGACAGGACCTGTCTCAGGGAGAATCAGCTGGGGTGTTGCTCATGGAGGCAATATCCTGCTTGCTGTTCCTTCCCCAACTAGCTCTTGGATAGAAATTGAACCATTAAGTCATAATAGACTCTGGCATCCTCACTGCCTCAATTCTCCCTCCCACCTCTACCCAAAGTAGAAGAGTTTTTCCTCGGGAGAGTGTTTGGCTTGGCTTCTCCCTCAAAGTGCCGCTATCCCCAGATTCTTCAAGGAAAGACCTGACTTTAGGACCTCCAGCTAGAATAGAACTTAAACCATGGAATTGAATTAAGTAGAGACTTGAAATGCTGGTTGCAGAGTAGAAGCTCAGTGACCACTACCCTTCTGTCCTGGGTGCTCCCAGGACTTTGGCTCTTAAGTCCAGGCCCCTCCCCACCTGCAGGTTTGTGCACACATATTATCCTTTCTCCCTACCCTGGGAGACCTTGGTGGACAGAATCCAGGATGAGCCTGTGCATGAGCTGCAGCAGAGCCACTGAAAGAGAGTTTGACCTCCCGCCCTTTTCCTTTGCCCATAGACACCAGTAAGACACGAGAATGGGGTGAAGTTCAGATAAATCGCTTGGGTTGGGACTAGGACAGCTGCTGCTCAGCTACTCAGCTTTCTCAGATGGATTCAGCTAGGATCTTGCTCCCCAACTTTTGTCAAAAAATTGTAATTAAGTGTGATGTGAAATAGCCTGATAGGAAACCTACGGAGTTTTGGTAGATAGGAGAGTTATTCGTCCTTTACTCCTACCAGCATCTAGCCCGGAGGTTTCATGCTTATGGGTCTGGGTGCCGTCGTCACACAGATTCAAGGCTGGGATTAGGATTCCGCAGGTGATAATGAGGCTGACTAGAGAGGAGATAACCTGGCACTGAAAGTTTAGCTCTTCTGCTTCCTCCCTCCAGTTTCCAAGAAGCTGGAGGAACATGGGGTTTCCCCTATGGGAGCCATGCAACTTGTTAAATTCCGTCCCTCTCTGGTGGTCTCCACGGAGAAGGGTTTGGTTGAGAGCATGTGAGTGTGAGCAAAGAGCGTGGAAGCTTGGCAGAACACAGTCACCTCCCTAAGGGACCTAACTTTAGGGTTTTGTCCTAGAAGGAAGACCCATGCAGGCAAGAATAGAAGGGAAGAAAGTGAAAAGCGGAGGCTGCTGTCTCTTCAACCCTTCTGACCTCAAGGTCTGAGCTAGCCTTCCAGCATCTCCTACAAGTGTCAAGAATCTGGGCAAGTGGCTCTTCTGGGTTGACTTTCTTTTATTGAAGCAGAAAGGTAGAGCTACACAAGAGAAGCCGTTATGATCCAAGCTGGAGCTAAATTCTTTGCCTTTGTCTCTCTCCCCTCCCTCCCTGCCCCCTCCTTCTCCCCTTGCCCTCTGGCCCTTTCCCAGGAGCTCTCCTCCAGCACCGAGAGTATTGATAATTCATTCAGTTCCGTAAGTGGGGCCAGGCTGGGACTGGGTGGCAGGCTCCCCCCATGGCCGCATTTCCTCTCCGTCCCCAGGTCTTCTGAATCTCCAGGCCAAGGCTGGAGTTAAAAGGTGCCTTTTCTTCCTGGGAGATCAACTCCTCCCTCCCAGGCATCCCAGACCTGGAGGAGTCCCCTGACTCTTGTTGCCAGTGCCCTGAGCCCAGGCTGAATCAGGCTCAGTTGATCCTTCTCCCAGAGACACCTGGGATGCTGTGCAACTCAGCCTTCAGCTCATGGGTCTCTAGAGCAAACAGCTGGGAGAGAGGTAGAATTTACCCCTGGATTGGAGCCAAGAATTGCTTGGCAGAAACCCCCAGGATCCTATATCTCCCACCCAGAACCCTTTCCCTATGGCTTCTGCCATCAGACCATCAAATGCTTATTCAGTGTCTTCTAAATGCTAGGCCCTGTGCTGGGTGAGCCGACTCCAAAAGCAAACAGGATTTGGCCTCAAGGAAAGTTTTACCTCCCCACAGCTGGTTTTCTTTTTTAACTTTAACCACATTTCTTCCAGGTCTGAGTTCTTCCCTTTCCCAGCTCACTGCCCAGATTGTTTCTTAATCCTCATTCTCCTTTCTCGTTCCCTCCAGACTAACCCCGACCCTCTGGTCCCACAGAGTCTCGGACCTTGTTGCTGGGCAGAGACGTGAGAGGAAATGCTGGACCCTTTGGGAGTTTGGATGATTTTTTAACATTTTATTTTGTATTTGTCTACCCGAAAAGTTTTCTCTGTTCTGTGCTAATCCCCTTTCAGTCGTGATTCCTGTCTCCTCCCATGTGGCAGAGTCTCTCTCTCAAGGCCTGGGGTCACATTTCCCATATGCTCACGTAACTTAGGGGCCCCCAACCCAAATGCTGATTTGAGGTTGGGAAGGAATTCTGCCTTTCTAATCTGAGATGACTATGAATTGGTTGGGGTAGAGGGTCCTTGGGACAGTGACCATTTGCCACCTGAGTGGATGGATTAGGGGATCAGGATGAATGAAGGAGCAAATCTCAAATTTCCTCTTCCTTTCTTTCTCTTTCTTTATTAGGCCCCTGGGATATTTCCAGGGACCACAGAAGCCTACTTGTATTGTATTCCTGTCTTTATTTTCAGACCTGACACCCAAAGCATTCCTGACTGATTCAGACACCCTGTTTCATTATTGTGTGGGGCCCTGAGCCAGCCCCCTGTGGGGTAGGGACTGAGAGATGAGCTGTTCCTTTGAACTCTGGCTCTGTTGTACATGCAGAGGTGGGCCTGGTACTGCACAGCTTTCAAAAGAAGCTTTTTTTGCAGTGTGAGGGAGTGAGGGTAGAAATTTTCAATCGGGAAACTAAGCAAGACACACAGAGAGGGAGAGAAAAGCCTGGTGAGTGAAATACTGTTTCTAAAAAAGGAGGAGACACTGTTCTTATCTAGCTGAGGGGAGATGGACTGGGGAGCTAGGTGGCTATCTTGATTGAATGCCCATATGGTAGAAGGATGTAGGCTGAGAAGAGAGCCCTTCTTCATGTCTAGCTGAGTCCATCTTTTTCCCACCCGCACCTTACTCCCCAGACTGACTTTGCCCTTTCTGGGAATGACTAAAGTACCCAGCGAGAGGAGCCAGGCTCACAGCAGGGAACTAATATGGGGAGCCCAGTCCCTGAGAGGTAGAGGAAGAGGACCCAAGAAGGAATCACTGAAAGAGACAGGCCTTCAGGGCCATCCTCAAGGGCTGAAAGGAGCTGTTGCTTTTTCCACCCACCTGCCCACACCTGCCTCCCTCCGTCTGCTTTTTCTCTCCCCATTGATTGTTCCCTCATTAATGCAAGTCTGCTCATCTTCTTCTCATCCCCTGCACGTGCGTTGACCCCTTGTAAGAGATCATTGGATGGACAGGGGGATGTCATGGAAAGGAACAAAAGTCATTTGGATAGAGTGGGTCCTCCTCCTTTGAAAGGGGAGATGTTGACTCAGAGCTCCCCTCCCTAGTCCTGTGGGTCCTGGCAGACCCCTGGGCAGAGACCGAGCTGGAGGATCCAGGTGGGGAGAGGGACATGAGATGGGTGGAGCATTTCTGATGTAAGCAGCTCTTCTCTCTGGGGCCCTGGCTAACCTCTGGATGTTGTCCCCCTGCCCATCTTGAAGCCTTGGGACAGTTCCTGAGGAACTCTAGTCTAAGAGAAGAGGGGTGCATCCCGGTGACCTGGATTCACACCCCCCCTTACCCTCAGGAAACAGCCTGAGGAGAAGGAATATACTTGCTCTTCTACCTGTTCCCAATTCAAGTTGACAGGAGTGGGGTGGGATCTCCTATTACAGCTGAAAGGTAGCTCCTTCCTGGAGTTCTCCAGACACTGGGATCCCTGGCCTGCATGGCCGGGAGGGACTGAGTGGGTGGGCCACTTTTTTCTATCATTTCTTCACCATCTTTTACTTCACCCTGACCCCCTGTAGCCCGTGAGACTGGCTCCTGAGCGAGAATTCATCAAGTCCCTGATGGCGATTGGCAAGCGGCTGGCCACGCTCCCCACCAAGGAGCAGAAAACACAGCGGCTGATCTCAGAGCTCTCCCTGCTCAACCATAAGCTCCCTGCCCGAGTCTGGCTGCCCACTGCCGGCTTTGACCACCACGTGGTCCGTGTGCCCCACACCCAGGCTGTTGTCCTCAACTCCAAGGACAAGGTAGGTGGACTCTGACCCAAACCCCACTTTTCATCTGACTCTACTCCCGTGGTTGTCCAGGGTTTGTGTATATGCCCAGGGGTGCCCCGCCGACATCCTAGACTCCTCCATGGTTCGTGTGCATGTGTCAGCCTTGACTTGACCTCAGTGCTGTCGTGATTCTGAGCGCCCTCTTGTCCACCTTCTTGGGCTTTGTTTTTCTGGACGAAAGAGGCCTAATCGTTTCAGCTTGCCTCTCGCCATGTCTCAGGAGAGACTCACTCTCCACCTGTCCTTACAGTCCTTTCATAGCTCTTCTCCAGCCCTTCTATAACTCTTAGGTATAGAAGGTACAGCAACAATGAGAGTAGAGAAATCTTTTGTTTCTAAGACCTTTTCTGATCAGAGTGGGCAGGGAGAAGGAGAGAAGAATGCCTGATTCGACTGGAGAGAATTAGCTGAATTTGTCTGCTGGTTGGAATGAGTACTCCTGGTTCAGATTTTTCTTTCAGAAGAAGTACTGGGGGCCGGCCCCGTGGCGTAGCGGTTAGGTGCACGTGCTTCGCTGCTGGCGGCCCGGGTTCAGATCCCGGGCGCGCACCGACACACTGCTTGTCAGGCCGTGCTGTGGCGGCATCCCACATAAAGTGGAAGAAGATTGTCACAGATGTTAGCTCAAGACCAGTCTTCCTCAGCAAAAAAGAGGAGGATTGTCATGGATGTTAGCTCAGGGCTGATCTTCCTCACAAAAAAAAGTAGTAGTACTGACAATTAGAACCCTACTTGGAACAGTGCCCAGCTATTTCCCAGTCTTTTTGTCTGTCTTTAGGATAAGCCCCCAGAGGCTTCCAGGCCTCTCTGATGGGTTGTAATTGATAGTTTGGAATGGTTTTGTCCAAGTGCATCATCTATACGTTTTGAAGCTCAGTGAAACATTTTGACAACTCATACACTGTCTCACCCAAGTTCTTTATATAGGTGTTCATAAGTTCTTGCCCTAAATATGGTGTTCATAGTGTCAGGGGACTGATAGATGAGGGTTGGAGCTAGGAGTGGGCAGCAGGAAGAACTATGTTAACAGAGTTGAGATTTGGGGAACAGTGGTGGACGTAAGTTACAAATACTGTTCTCACTTTCCCCCCAGGCTCCTTATCTGATCTATGTGGAAGTCCTTGAATGTGAAAACTTCGACACCACTAGTGTCCCCGCCCGGATCCCTGAGAACCGAATTCGGAGCACACGGTCTGTAGAGAACCTGCCTGAATGCGGTATCACTCACGAGCAGCGGGCAGGCAGCTTCAGCACTGTGCCCAACTATGACAATGATGATGAGGCCTGGTCAGTGGATGACATAGGCGAGCTGCAGGTGGAGGTGAGGGAGCTCCAAGGAGGTAATACTGGCGCACAGCACCTGTTCTCCATGAGCTTTCAGTATGTTTGAGACAAGACAATACACCCTGAGGCAGGCTGAGGCAAGTGCCCAAATGAGTGCGGTAGATAGTAATGGGTATGAGAGGGAAAAGCTCTGAACAGCTCTAGTCTGGAATAGATTTAGGTAGAGCTTGTTTTCCTGCAGGAGGAATTTAGGTTAAATATAAGGAGGAATTTCTAAGCTCAGGGGAGTGAAAGAAATTTAGTCAAAATATTTATTGAACACCTGCTATATAAAGTTGTCTTAGGAAAGCAGAGGATGGTAAGTCATACATTCATTCATTCAGGAAATAATTATTGAAGGCCTGCTTTGTGCCAGACCTGAGTGCTGTGTGCTAGTGAACAAGGCTTGGCCCCTGCCTGCAAAGAGTTTATGACCTAATATGAGAGAGAAAAAGACCAGTCAGCAGGTGGTTGTAGTATGGTGTGATCCAGGTTGTGCCGGAGAGGATGGGGCGTTATGGGAGCACCTAAGGGTGGGGGTAGCAATTACTCCAGACTTGGCGTTGGATACACCCCAAAAGATTTCTTGGAGGCAGTAATATCTCAGCTGAGGCCTGAAGATGGGTTGGAAATAGCTGGATAGAGTATTCCAGGTGGAGGGAATAGCATGTGCAAAGACTGGAAGACGAGAGAGCTTGGCACATTTTAGGAACTGAAAGAAATTCTGTATGGCTGTGATGTTTGGGTGTGTGGTCAGAAGTGGTGAAGAATGAGGCTGGAAAGGCCAGCACGGGCCAGATTGTAGGAAGGATCCTGTAAGCTGTGGAAAGAAACTTGAACTTTATTCTGGAGTTATAGGGAGCCAGACCAGGATTTTATGTAGGGCTGTGACACAGCCAGATTTCACTTTATGAAAAGACAGAATCTCTGTCCTTGAGCTTACAGTCCAACTGGAGAGATTGGACACAGACATTTAAGAAAACATCTATTTATAAGATACACAACAAGGCAATGTGCAATAAATGACGAATGGAGTTGAGAAGAAATGCTCTGGTACAAAGGAGGGAGAAAAGAAGGGACTTGATATGGGCCTTAGAGTCTGGTAGACCAATATTTTATAGTGAGAGAGAGAGGGAGGGATAAGATTGAATGGCTTAGATGGAAGAAATGGTCAGAGGAACCTAGTCTGGAGAGGGTCTGGTCCTGGACCCTAAGGGAGACCGTATCCCTAGCCTTGGGGAGCTCTCAGCATAAGGCCACAAGTTCAGATTTCTGTGATGGTCATGGCAGTGGTTTGCAAACTTGAGTGCATTGGGAGTCTTCTGGAGAATTTGTTGAAAATTCAGACTTCCAGATCCCATTCCTAGTAATTGTAAGTCAGATCAATGGTGGGGTATGGGAATCTGCGTTTTAGCAGCATTCCAGGTAATTCTGATGCAGGTAGTTCAGACTTGGAGAAACACTGCTATAGGGTCTATGTGAGTGCCTAGGCAGTTCGGAAGCCAAGTGGTCAGGATGGAGTGTAACCAGGGGAGGCTTTTTGGAACAGAGTTCAGAAGGGAAGGATGTTCATGACGTGGAGATGGCAAGCATGCAGAGTGATCTGAGAAGGTAAAAGAAGCGAGACCTGTGCTTAGCACTTCTGACCTGCAATCCCCTGCGCTCCCCAGCTCCCTGAAGTGCACACCAACAGCTGTGACAACATCTCTCAGTTCTCCGTGGACAGCATCACCAGCCAGGAGAGCAAGGAGCCTGTGTTCATTGCAGCAGGGGACATTCGGTATGGCCAGACCACGTTATCTGATTGTCCCCTTCCTCTCTGTCGGCCTGTGTCTTTCCCTTTTCTCTCTCCTTGTCTTGAGGCCACCAAACTTGAGGCAGTGAAAGTGCAGGTTGAGAAATTACTGAGCTACTACAGAAGGAAATTAAATTTTAAAAGGATTCCAAAGGGATGAAAGCACCAGAGGAAGGAATTAGAGCAGTTTCTCAGAGTGGGTCTGAGGACCACATGTGTCAGAATCAAGGGAGAGGGAGGTGGTCTTGTTGAAAATGCAGATGTGGAGCCACACCTGTTCTGAAGCAGAATCTTGGTAGAGGAATGGGGAAGGCCTGGTCATCTGCATTTTAACATGATTACAAACCACCAGGTTAGCAAAAAGGTTTAAGTAATGTGTTTCTGGCCATGAGTCTCTCTCAGCCCAGGTTTCTATCTCTGTGTGCCCAGAACCAATGTAACAGTGCAGGAAATGCCGGCATAGACAGGGACATGAGGCTCTGGGCTAACTCCTCCAAGCAAATGATATAGTTTCTTCCTGCTAGACGACGCCTTTCGGAGCAGCTGGCTCACACCCCCACAGCCTTCAAACGAGACCCAGAAGACCCTTCTGCAGTTGCTCTCAAAGAGCCCTGGCAGGAGAAAGTGCGGTGAGTTGGGTGGGGGTGGTCTGTATACGCCTTGCAAAGCTTGGAGGCAACTGTAGGTACTCACTCCACCATCCATATTGTCCATCAGCCCCCAAAATCCATCAGGCTCCCAAGTCATCTCAGTCTTTGCCTTGTGGGGCATTTGATTTGGATTTTTAGTAGGAGCTATATTTCTGTTTTCACCCTGGTATCACGCTTTGACACCTTTTGCTGCTTTCTTCACAGTCGGATCAGAGAGGGCTCCCCATATGGCCATCTTCCCAATTGGCGGCTCCTGTCAGTCATTGTCAAGTGTGGGGATGACCTTCGGCAGGAGCTCCTGGCCTTCCAGGTGTTGAAGCAACTGCAGGTAAGAGAAGGGAGGGAGAAAGACAGGGAACTCAGCCCAGCTCCAGCCCACCTGAGGTGACCACACAGGTTGTTTTGCAGGGAGCTCTGTTGGGGACCAACTTCCTGCCCAGGTCTAAATTGGACATAGGTTCAACTAAAGCTGGTGCTCCTTTCGAGGAAGTACAGCCACAGGAACAGCTCCACATTGACCTCTTGTGGCTCTTTTGCGAACTGCACCTGCTCTGATTACTGAACTTCAGGATGCTGGGTTTGTCCTTTAGATCAAAACTCCCAACAGATCTGTGGCAAGTGGTTGCAGTGTGCTGAGATGTCTATCCCCTGAGCCCCTGACTTGGTCGCCTACAAGCAGCTTCACTTGTTTAATCCAGTTTTTTATATAAATATTTTCATTTTCTAGAGAAGTTTTCTCTGAACCTAAATCCTTTTCAGTCTTTTTCCCTATTCTTTGAACTTGGATTAATAGGTCCCACTCTCCCTGCTTGTGAGGTGACAGTGGTTTCCTGTTCTCCTTGCCTTTTTTGGACTTCTATCTGTAAGATGCCTTTTGCCACATAGCTCTGTACATGGTTTTCTGTCTTGTCAGGCCCTGGAATTCCTTTTAAAACTCCCTAGTCCTCAATGGGATCAGTGGGTTTTACTCATTTGGTGGCCTAGAATCCAAGTCCACCAAGGAGGGGAACTGTCCAAAGTTGAGGACAGAAGGATTTTAGCCCCCTCCCCAAGTTTGGAGAAGGATAATAGTCCCAATGCCTCTGTGTCTCCTCACAGTCCATTTGGGAACAGGAGCGAGTGCCCCTGTGGATCAAGCCATACAAGATTCTTGTGATTTCGGCCGACAGTGGCATGATTGAGCCAGTGGTCAATGCTGTGTCCATCCACCAGGTGAAGAAACAGTCACAGCTCTCCTTGCTCGACTACTTCCTGCAGGAGCATGGCAGTTACACCACCGAGGCATTCCTCAGTGCCCAGCGCAATTTTGTGCAAAGTTGCGCTGGCTACTGCTTGGTCTGCTACCTGCTGCAAGTCAAGGACAGGTAGGTAGATTCCTGCCCTTCATCCTGACCTTTTCTCCAGGCTTCCCTCTGTCCCTTCAGGTGTAGTTTTCACTTAATCACCACCTTCCATTGCCAAGAGGTAAAGATGAACAGACAACATATTTTAGGCAGAGACAGACGTGTTCACATGCCATTAAGCCAAAGAGGCAGATGGACTAGGTAAAGGGGCAAAGTAAAGGATTTATGAGAGGAGCAAGGGTTTGAGGGAGCAGGGTCTTGAAGGACAAAGGAGAATGAGGACAGAGAAAGTTGTGGTGAAAGGACGCTCCAGGCAGAGGAAACAACTTGATGTGATTCCAACTTGGGCTGCACTGCATGGCAGGAGAATAGTAGGCAGTGACATAAGACAGGTAAGTTGAGACCAGGTTAGAAGGCTCTTCATTCTGAGGCAGAGGAATGACATGATCCAGTCTGTGTTTAGTGAATGCACCCTGTGGCACTGTGGGTGACACTGGATGTCATTGGGCCTTTAGCAACAAAGCAAGAGGTAATGAGGCCTGGCCTGAGGGTAGTGGTAGTGACTAGAGCAGAAAGGAGAAGATGGATAGGAGAGACATGGTGGAGATAAAGTTGAAACTCCCAGTCTTGAACTCTCCTTATTCCAACATATGATTTCCAGAACTTTTAAGTATCTCTTGTTTTGCCCAGAGCTGTGATTTCTTTTAATAACAAGTGAGGCCCAACTTCACATATAGGCAAACAACATATCGTACAAAGATAATTACGCCACCGAGGCCCTGCTTTCCAAGACTGTCTCCGGACAGCCACTCAGGGTCAATAACCTGAATGCTCCAGTGAGTTGTGCCTCTCACTGGGCATAGGGCATCTGTCCTGGGAAGGAAGAAATGCAGTGGCCTCTGCTTCCAGGGCTCCCAGTGACAGGGCGACGCATTAAGATCTAGCTAACAGAACAGCTTATCAGAGATGTAGCATCTATTAAGTCCCTGCCATGGCCTGACAGTCTTATATTGAAAACCCTATCAGACAAGTGTTTCCTCATGAGGAAAATAAGGGTCAGGGAGCTTTCAGAACCTATGCTCATTCCACCCTGCCAGCCCTGCAGATCAACCCAGTGGAGGCCCTACATTTGAAGGCTGAAGGGAAGTGTAATTATTTATAAGGAATTTGGTTACAAGCTTTAGACAGTCTCTGAATAGTCAGGATTTTGAACCCAGCGCCCAGAGAGCCTAGAGCTGAGCCCCAGGGTTGAGTGAATGGGTGGCAGGAAAGCAAATGCTAGTCAGGCCTCTGGGCTTTTCTTTAGGAACCTAATATGTTTGGAAGATTAGAGTCCGTCCTTTAAAAGAGGTGGAGGGGAGGAGGCAGGCAGCTGAGAAACTTTTCATAATAAGTCAAAAAAATATATATGTGGTCAAACCATGAATGGAATCAGCCACTAGAAAGAAGTGGCAACAGTGCCTGGGGCTCCAAACTGGAAGCAGGTTGAAGATCTCTTGGACTGCTTCCGAATGAGTCCTGCACAGCTTTGCAGCTGGAGCTAACTCGAGCAGTTAGGAAAAGAAAGGGGCTAGTGCCCCTCACTAGCCTTGGGACCTGGGGCAAGTAAGTCACTTCTCCTCTTAGGGCCTCTGTTTCCTCACCTGTAAAATGAGAGGTTTTGCCCAGAGCAATTTGCGCAATTTTGTGCAAAGGTGCGCTGGCTACTGCTTGGTCCGCTACCTGCTGCAAGTCAGGGACAGGTAGGTAGATTCCTGCCCTTCTAGGACATCTCCTGAAACCTTTCTGGCTCTCAAGGTTGGGCCTGTGTTGCTCAATTTGTAATGCTTTCCTGGAGTAGGAAGGACTCAGATGGGACTCAGTTCTCACTCTGTGCCCCCTCTATTGGCCAGTCAGACCAACCCCAGAGAAGGTGGCCCTCAGAGTGTGAGCTCTTAGCCTAACAAAGCCTCTGTGGACACTGAGGAGGTGGGTTATGCTGAATGGGCCAGGCCTCACATGCTTAGCATGTTAATTGTAGCTGCTTCTACTGGCCTTTGATGTGGGAATCACAAAGACCTGGGATTTCTCTCGCTTTAAATCTTCTTCCTGGGGCCGGCCCCGTGGCTTAGCGGTTGAGTGCGCACCGACGCACCGCTTCTCCGCCCATGCTGGGGCAGCGTCCCACATGCAGCAACTAGAAGGATGTGCAGCTATGACATGCGACTATCTACTGGGGCTTTGGGTGAGAAAAAAATAAATAAATAAAATCTTTAAATCTTCTTCCTGCAGCCAGCCTGTAGTAATTCCCTCCTGAGATAGTTAAACCTTAAAAAACTTCCCTCAAAGCCCCCACGCTATTTTACATTTAAACTCTGCTCAGCCTGCTTGCCTTGGAACACTGCTCCCTTCTGGTCAGGCTTCTGGTCTGCAGTGGGCTGATAGGAATTACAAATAAAACAGGTAAACATGTTCTAACTGAGGGCCTCCCGCTGAGCCAGGTGCTTGGCCTCTGTGACAGCTGGCTGAGCCGCAGAGGCTTGCTTTCTTTACTTCTGGGTTCTCTACTAGATTGGGATCAGTTTGGGTGGTAGAAGTTATGATTTTTGGAAAATTTGGAGAAAAACTATTCTATTAAGTTGTTAATAATAGCGATTTCAGACTCCACAGCCTTTGTTAGCAGTTTACTTTAGCAGTAGGAAACGTGGCAGGGGACTGCCCTGCCTGGTGTCATGTGGCCAGTGTGTTGCAGCTTGAGGCTCCCACCTCAGTCAGACTTACTACTGCCTCTTCCTCTCCTTTGCCCCCTCCTCAGGCACAATGGGAACATCCTTTTGGACGCAGAAGGCCATATCATCCACATCGACTTTGGCTTCATCCTGTCCAGCTCACCCCGAAACCTGGGCTTTGAGACGTCAGCCTTTAAGCTGACCACCGAGTTTGTGGACGTGAGTCAGGAAGGAGAGGTGCCTCATTGCATTCTCTCTCTGTCGTGGGAGGGGAGCTGATGGGCTCCCCCGGAATTAGGGGTAAACAGAACAGAAGTGGCTGTAAGTCAGGGTGAGGCTAGATGTCCTGGGAGGTTTCCTGCCTGATGAGAGAGTGGGAAAGTAATGGAGTTTGGCATGTTTGCCCCCAGGGAGGAAGGAGTTTTGACTGGCTTGTGGGACACTAAGCCCCCTTGTACACATAGCTATCTTCTCCCCTCCCAGGTAATGGGCGGCCTAGATGGTGACATGTTCAACTACTACAAGATGTTGATGCTGCAGGGGCTGATTGCTGCTCGGAAACACATGGATAAGGTGGTGCAGATCGTGGAGATCATGCAGCAAGGTGGGGCTGGGGAGAGGCCAGGTGTTTGGGGATAGGGCGGTGCCCATAGTGCCTCAGGATTCCCACTTATGTTGGGGCCCTGGAGCATGGAACTTCCAAAAAGTTGATTCCACCTCAAGACGGGGGGTGGGGATTCCCGGAGGGTTTCCAGCTGATCCAGTACCCCATTTCTCCTTCAGGACATTCCTCCTGACACCTGACAGAGCTAGGTCCAAGGGGTGGGGGGGTGGGGGAGGCAGAGGCAGAGGCAGCAGAAACTACCCCCTCGGTGCACTCAGGGAGAGAACAGTCCCCTCTCCAGCTACCTGGTCCCTTCGCATCTCCCCATCCCTTGTCCAGCCCTGAGTTTCTGTCTCCTCCTTCCATGGCTCGGCTCTTTACCAACCTCAGGTGTTTCCAGTCACTACTTTCCTCCCCATTGGGCTGACTTCTGATTGCACTGTCCTCAGGCCCCTTCCCTGTCTCAGTACTCACCCCTCCTGCTCTAAGTATTTCCTCTGTCTCGCATCTTATCTGCTCTCACTGTGCTGTTTCCTCACTGCCTTGCCATCTACAGTCTTTGCTCCGGGATCCCTCCTCTCCCAGCTCCTCTGGGCCCTTTGTCCCCATCCCCCTCCTCAAGGCTGCAGTACACACCCAGTCTGAGCTGCCAGTCTCCTCCTCCTCCCCATCCCTGCCCCCACCCCGCAGGTTGTCGCTGTTGCTCAGGAGCATTCCCGTCTGGCCCCGTGATGACGGTGGCCCAGGTCATCTGTGAGTGTCAGACGTAGCATAGGCAGAGGCCTGCGACCAGATAAGTGCCCAGCTCAGGGCCCATTTCCTACAACCTCTTCCCAACCTTCCCTCTGGGTCCTAAGGCTCTGCTCCCTCAGCCCTTACCAGGAGAGATGTGGTGTTGGCCCTCTTCCCTTCTCTGCCCTCATGCCCTCACCTAAAGGGACTTAGGAGTGCGGGATGAAGATGAGCTCAAGACAGGGCCTCCCACCAATTCTCCCTTCTCTGCCCAAGCAGAATTGTGTCCACACTGTCAGGGATCTCTCTGAGGTGGGAGGGGAAGGGGCACTTCAGACACCCCGGGCTCTGTATTTGCTGTGGCTGTCACCACTGCCCCTTCCTCCTTTCCATCTGTGACCTTCTACCCTCACTGCTTCCCTCAGGTTCTCAGCTTCCTTGCTTCCACGGCTCCAGCACCATCCGCAACCTCAAAGAGAGGTTCCACATGAGCATGACTGAGGAACAGCTCCAGCTGCTGGTGGAGCAGATGGTAGACGGCAGCATGCGGTCTATCACCACCAAACTCTATGACGGCTTCCAGTACCTCACCAACGGCATCATGTGACACCCTCCTTCTCAGACCCCAGAGTGGTGGGGGATTCAGGAGACCTTCTCTCAGAGGGCCCTTGTCAGGGAAAACCCAAACCAGGCTACCCCACCCATCCACCCATCCACTCGGGAAGTGGAAGGCAAGAAATACAAAGGATCATGTGGTAACTGTAGAGCTTGCCAGCGGGGTGGGAGAGCCAGCCATGGGGTTCAGACTTGCTGGGGCTTCCCTTCCCGTCCCCTCCCCCAACCAGCTGTGTCAGTATTACCACCTGACAGACTCCGGGACTCACTGCCCTCCAGAGAACAGGTGATAAATGTGAGGGACACTGGGGCCTTTTTTCTCGCCAGGGTCCAAGAGGTTCTTTCCACAGGCCATCCTCTTAATCTGTTCTGGGTCCCAGGAAAGGGGGAAGAGTAGGTTCTTGGTACTTAGGACTTGATCCTGTGGTTGGCCTTTGGCCATGCTGCTGCCCAACTCTGTCCCTTCCCAGGGACTGACCCCTAGCCTGAGTTCCCCTTGGTAGGTGGGCTCTGGTATAGGGTCCTGCACTTGCTGAGGTTCCCCATCACAGAGGCAGGAAGGGAATTATCACAACCCCTCCAGTGTGTGTGAGGGTACTAGGCTAGCCGTGGGGAATTCCTTGCCCTGATCCCTTCCCCACACCCAGGGAAATAGCTCTCAACTTTTTATTCTTAATTTTTGTTTGAAATAAAGTCCTTAGTTAGCCATCTGTGTCATTTCTGAGTTGTATCTTTGTGGGGGGGGTGGAGGGTAGGTGACGAGGAGTGAACAGATGCCTCAGTATCCAGGACAAGAGACACCGCACAGAACCATGTGAAAGACTGCTTTCTCCCTGTCTCGGTCAATACCACCTCTTCCCTGAGAAGGGCCTCCCCAGTTTTGACTCTCGCCCTCTCCCTGTCAAGTCCACATTGTCCAAGTCACATAAAAAGAGGAGCCGGAATGGGGATTAAACCATGAGCAGTTTTAATGGTCTGGTTTTTCCCTACTGTTTGCCCCACTGTTAGTATTATTACTACTACAAGAATAAAAGATTCCTGAGAGCCTGTCTCCTCCTTTCCCTGGGCACCCCCCTTGACAGGACTCGTCCCCACCAACCCCCACCCCCGGCCCCATGATTCCTGGGGGAAAAAAAAGACAAGTGAAAGGCACTGCAGGGCTGGGGGGCTTGAGTGCCAGGGGGTCTGAGGGGTGGTGAGGGCAGGGCCAGGCCCGCAGTCGGTGCCAGCAGGGGTTGAGGAGCGTGTCCTGACTGCCCTAGCAGTGGTCCTTCCCTGGGCCCGTCTAGCAGGCCTAAGAAAGTCCCATCCTCCCACCCCCAGTCCCACACGAGGGTCTGCAGCAGGAGAATTAGTGTTGGGCTCAGAAAGGAGGAAGGGAGGGCCCACTCTACTAGGAACCAAGGGCCAAACCCAAAGGAGGGACTGCCAATAACTATAATCCTTAAAAGCTTGTCTTTTGTCTTTTTTTTTTCTTTTTGTCTTTTGTCTTCAGGGGTTAGGGGGAGGAGTTGAACAAAACGTGAATTATAACGCAACTTCCCAGCCCAGGGACCAGGCAGCAGCAGTGACCCAGGATTTCGGGAAGAGGGAGCGGGCGGGTCAGTCCAGGCCTGGGGCCTAGTTGTCCCCACTGCCTCCTTGCCGAGCCCTGATGAATGCCATGCCATGTGTGCGGAAATGGGTCTTGAGGTTGAGAGGGCTGTCACAGCTCTTGCCACAGACCTTACAGGTCAGTGGGCCTCCAGAAGCAGGCAAGGGTGAATCTCCACCCTCTGGATCAGACCTTGATGGGGGGGGGGCCTCTTCCTCCCCATCCCCCAGGCCCAGGGCACTGACACTACCCACACCCCGTTTCTTCTTGTGGCTGATGAAACGGTGCCGGCTCAGGGAGCCAGGGGATGCAAAGCACAAGCCACAGTCGAGGCACTGCTGGGCACCGCCATCTACCCTCAACCCCACCACGAGGCTCTGCTCCACTGAACCACTGCTCCGGTAGCGCAGGGGGCCTCCCGACCCAGGTCCACCCCTGGGTGACTTGGCTGGAGGTGTTGTACTGTCAGGCTCCTCACTGCAAGAATCAGAGGACTGGCGGCGTTTCCGTCCTGGCCCCTGGAAAAGAGTGAAGAAACTGGGCCTCACCATCACCCCGCACTGTCCCTGGCACCCCCTCCTAGCTTCCTGAGTCCAGGGTCTACAACCCTGCAGGTTCCCACGCCCACGGCCCTAACTCAGTAGGTTGGGCCTCTGCCTACCTGGGCTCTGGCACCGGGGCCCCGAGCCAGGGCACTCCCCCGGCCAGGGGACTGGGCCCCGAGCGGCAAGCCGTGCCGAACCTGGACGTGTTTCTCCAGGATCAGGCGGCTGCTGAAGGTGCGTTTTCCCTCTGTGCAATACCTAGAGGGGGAGAGTGGGCGGGATGGGCGCCAGGGGCACAGCCCAAAGACCAAGGCCTGTGGCTCAAGAGGAGGGGAGCGACCAGAGCAGAGAGAGGCTTCAACCTTCAGTCCACTCAGATAAGAGGCAGGTGTGAAGGTACTTTGGGGGACCGAGGGGGAGGGGGTGGGGAGGCCACCTGCTGGACAGAAAGAGGAAGGGGGTGAAGGAAAAAGGGTTACCTGCATGGGTAAACTCGCTTGATACCCTCGTGATTGACCCTGACGTGGCGCCTCAGGCTGGGGGCGGAGCAGAAGGAGCGCTCACACAGGCGACATGGGAACTTTTTCACCGACTAGGAGAGCAGGGGGTAGGCATCTCAGAGCCAGGCTCCAGGACCCCACCCCGACTAACACACAGGTCAAGCCCAATGCTGCCCTCCTCCCAGCCCTGCTTGCTTCCTCCAGGAGCCCACTCACCTTGCCATGCTCCTTCTTCATGTGAGCCACATACTCGTCACGCTCAGGGAACCAGGAGTGACAAAGGCCACAGGTCCAGCCTCCAGGGCCCCCACCCCCGCCCTTGATGCCTTTGCTCCCTAGTTCCCGCCGGGGTCGTTTGGTTGGGCGAGGGGGCTCAGGGGAGCTGGGTAGTTCTTCCTCTTCTGAGGTTGAAGAAGATTCCTCAGTAGCGGGAGCTGCTCCTCCCCGAGACACAGCCAGCTCCTCAGGCTCAGTCTTAGGGGTCAGAAGGGCACCCCCAGCCCCTTTCCCAGCAGTCTCCTCCCCCAAGCGCCCGGACTGATGGGTGTTCTGTGAGAGGGAGACAAAGGGGATGGCTGTTGTGGGGGAGGGTCTAGCTTTGCCAGAATCCTTATTTCTCCCCTGCCCCCATTTTCTAGGCTTATGTGACCCTGGCCCCATGTCAACACAGCTGAGCATCCCACTTCCATCCCTCGAGTCCTGTACCTTGAGATGTTCCAGCATGGTCCTTTTTTGGGCAAAAAGCAGAGGACAAGACGGGCACTTAAAGACACTGACACGCTGGGGCAGCAAGTGCTGGTCAAAGTGTGAGGTGAGGAGGGGTTTGTGAGTGAAGACCGTGTCACACATGGCGCACTTGTAGATCATCCTGTGTGGGTGGAAAGGACAGTGCAGACACCCTGCCCCATCAAGGCCCAAACCCCCCTCCAGCCCAGCCCTCCTCATGCTCCTTCCCCATGTCTCACTTGGCCTGCTGCGTGTGGAAGCTGGGATGCTGGGTGTAGAGGTGGGCATGGGCGCTGGGTGCGGACTTAAAGGCCATGGGGCAGATGGGGCACTTGTGGAAAACCTCGCAGTGTGACGTCTGGATGTGGGACTTGATGGAGTTCACACCCCCAAACACCACTGCACAGCTGGGGCACCTTTGGGAAGCAAGTGGAAGGCGCTGTGGTGAGGTGTGCGGCGTCTCCCTGCCCACTCTCCCACCTCACACTCATTCTCAGGGACCGGGTGACTCTGAGAAGCTCATCAGTGGTGGAGCACGAGCAAGGTGGAGAAAGGAGGGAGCTGCAGAGACCCAATTCCCCAAGGGAGGCCTGTTGAGGCAGAACTGGAGCTCCAGAGGTGGCCCTGCTCTCTCCCCTCTCCATGGGGAATGACGCAAAGGCAGATAGATCTCAGGCTGCGTTTGCCAATACACCAAGGCTGAAGGATTCAGCCTTGAATGGGCTCTTCCTGAGAGACCATCTAAAAGGTTGGTGCTAGGAGCCATGAGACCATAAAGTGCACGGGAGAAAGTGTCGAGACACTACCAGGAGGAGAGACGTGAGGCACCTGTATCCTACACGGCGAGAGAAATGCAGACAGGCATCCCGGAGATGGGTCTGAAAATTGGCTTGCAGGAAGTTGCCCCCACACTCAGGGCAGACATGGGGAGGTCGGTTCTTATGCATGCGCTGGTGGGCACTGAAGCTGCAGCGATTGGGAAGCATCATGGGGCAGGTAGCGCACACCTGTCAAGGGGGTTGAAACAAGGTAAGTCGGTGAGAAGTGGCCTGTCCCCCATTCCCTCTCCTAACCAAGCCCCCAACACCTTCCTAGATCTTATCCCCATGGCATCTGGCTGTCCCCATCCCAGGGAAGTGCTGTGAAAGACAACTCACATTGCTGGTGGCCCCAGGGGCAGGGGGCCCAAGCTGCTGGAAGTGGGCAGCCATGCCAGCCTTGTCCCGGCACTGCTCCTTGCACTCCAGGCAGCGAAAGCACGTGTAAGCAGAGGTGGCAGGGGCAGCAGGCGGCTCGGTTGAGAGCGGCAGCACAGGGGCCTCAGCAGCAACTGTAGTAACGGCAGAGGTGACAGCCCCATCACTCTTGCCCAAGGCAGGCAAGACCGGAGGTCCAAGGGCAGGTGAGACAGCCAGCAGGGGCGTGATGTCCGGCTGCCCTACCATCTGATCCAGGGCTACAGGCCTCATGACCAGGTGCGAGCACTGCATGACGAGCCCCTTGTCCTTGTGCTCGCGGGCGTGCAGCAACAGGCTGCACTTGTTGAAGAAGACCAGGCGGCGGGCGCAGTGGTTGCAGGTGACCTCGATGCGCATGCTCCGGCGGTCATAGTGCCGTGCCAGGCTCTTCTCCAACGAGAAGGCATCCCCACACTCGAGGCAGCGGTAGCCCGTTGGAGGTAGGGCCAGCCCGGCCTCAGCTGGTGGACATAGGTTTGGCCGGTAGGCAGGCAGCAGGTTCTTGCTGTTGAGGATCTTGTTGAAGGCCTCCACCAGGCTGGACTGGGTCCGGGAGATCACTGTGCCACCCCCTGCACCCAGCCCAGTGGCTGGCTTAGAAGGCTGCACCATCACTACTGAGGCACCATTCACCTTCTGCCCTCCTGTCCCCAGCCCTGCTCGCCCCTCAGCCTTGGGCAGGGCTTGGGGCACAAGACCTAGCACATTCTTCGCCATCGTCTTAGGACTGGTGGCAGTGCCCCCAGGAAGAACCACAGCTTTGCGGGCCACGCTGGCCGCCATCAGCATGGCAGTACTTGCATTCTGGATGGTGGCCACAGGTAGCACGGTGCCCTTTAGCCTCGTGCCATCGCCCAGTTGGACGCTCACCACCTTTGGACCCTCAGGGGTTGGGGTTGCAGGAGACAGCTTCAGGAGGCTGGCCTCAGCCAGGAAGGCCCCTTCGGCCAAGGGTGCAGGGGGATCAGGGTCTGAGGGGACCCGGGTTACAGTCCTTGTGATATTCCCGCAGGATGTTTTAATGGTCTTGATGCGCACCTTGAGGGGCCTGGAGGAGCTGGAGGAGGCAGGGGAGTCATTGCTGTCCTCGTCTGCAGCCTCGGCTCCACTAGAGGGACTCTGGGGACTTCCCGGGGGAGACTTGTCCACTGGCCCCTCGTCGTCTTCTTCTTCCTTTAGGGGCTGACAGCTGGGCATTTGGGGGGAGGCAAGAGGGCTCTGGTGCCCTGGAGACTGCTTGAAGAAGGGCATCTCAGTAACCTGGGGAGGTGAGGTGCTGGCAGGGATGCCCGTGGCCTCAGGGCTAGAGCCCGAGCCTAGCCCGGCTAGGCCCTGGGGATTAAGGGGGCTACACCTGCCCTGCTTCAAGGCCCCCAGTGGTGGGGGAGAACCAGGCGGCAGCAGGGCTGGGCCATTCTCCCGGACCAGCTCAAAGGGAGAAGGGAAAGGAGGTGGGGTCATGGCCCCTTCCCGAGGCGGGGAGGGCGCAGAGGGAGGCAAAGGATCAGGGTGCTCCCCTGGCTCAGGTCCAAAATGAGCAAATAGGTCCAAGGGAGCTTTGCCTTCCATGGCTTTTTCTTTCCAGGTACCCCCACTAGGAGGAGCTGGGGAGTGGGGAGTTCCTGGAAGGGATGGGTCAGGGCTCCCAAAACCATTCTGCATCAGACGAGGCCCCATAGGCCCTTCCTTTGTCACGCCCCCAGCCCGGGCCCCTTCCCCTCCTGAACTCCCAGCCAGGGACTCAGACTGCTCAGGACACACAGTGTTCTTGACAATGACGCTGACTGCCGAGATATCTGGCGGTGGCAAGCCATGGTCAGCAGCCTGGGCTGGAACCTCAGAGCCATCCCTGGCAGCTGCTGCTGCTGCTGCTTCTCCAGATTCACCCCCTACACTGGGTTCTGGCTTCCCTGAACCTCCCGGCCCCTCATTTTCTTCTGGCCCAGAATGGATGGCTTCATTCGCATCAATGTCGGGGATGTCAAACGCAGCAAGAAGGTCATCAAAATCAGGGGTCTTCATGTCCCCCATGGCGGCAGGTCCCAGACCTGATGAAAACAGGAAAAAGAGGGAGAAACTGAGACCTCTGGACCTCCTACCTCAAGATCTCCACATTGATCCCCTCTCAGAACCCATGCGCACTCTGACTTGCGTACACCTCCACCATACTGCAAATCCCAGAGAGCTGGTACAGGTGACTGGTTTGCCAAACCGTAAAATTGAAAGGGAGGTACTGTGCACATTCCAGGGAAGACATCAAGATGCAGAGAAAGCAGAGAAAAAGAGATTCCTGAGAAATACAGATAAGAGATAAGGGTGGTAGAGACAGAGGGAGTTCAGTGAGCATCTTGGTTGAAACCACCTCAGCCCCTCCTGTGCCCAACATAGAATCAATTAATCACTACTACTATCAAGGAGGATGTACACAATGGTCTAGATTTAAGGGCTCATTCATGGCAGCATGGCATCCATTCATATTCTTCATGGATCTTCTAGGAGTCCACAGAGATCTGAAAAGCCATGTGTACAAAGGGGAAGTGACTCAAGCCAAGACGTGAGAAATGATTCGAGTTCCAGCTTTATCAATGGCCTGCTGTATAAGGAAGTTACTCCACTGCCTTACTTTTGCTGTTTGAAAGAGGGGGCAGGTAATCCATATATCATAGGGTTATTCTGAGCATGATATGAATTGTAAACATTGACAGTCAGAACCCAGAATACGACTTTTATTACAGCTAGAACAAACAAGGACATGTCAGGTTAAGGAGGAGCTGGAAAGGAGTAAGCACTGGACATCCAGGGCTAAGATCAGACACAAGAGTTAGGGATCATATAAGGTCAAGTCTGGGGCACCTGGCGTCATCACCGGCACCTGGAGATCTAGCTTGGTTAACAGGCAGAAGTGGACTCAGGGAAATCGCCCAAGAGACCAAGATGGAAAGAATAAGACACAGGAACAGAAAGAGACAAAGAGAAGAGACAGAGGGGAAAACCGTGGCAACAGTCTGGTCACAAGGGCCCCAGGCTAGGCCTCTCCTGTCACAAACACCTGCTGCTCACTCACCTACCTTTCCCCAGAGTGCCTCAGCCCTCCAGGGGCCCTCTCCCAGCCAGCCCCTCCTCCCTCTCTCCCTCCCCATCTTGCTCTCTCAGGGCTAAAACTCCAGGGTACCAGCTTATCCAGCACAGCTGCCACAATGGGGAAAAGCCAGGCCCCCTCACCCCTGTCATTTCTGTTCTGAGCTCTTCATCCCAGTTTATCCCCTAACTCACACTCATCAATTCTCCCCTGGCAACAGGAGCCCAGGAAGTCTCGCCCAACCCCAATTTGGCCTAGTATTAAAAAAAAAAAAAAAATCCCACAGGACTTCTGTGGCACTAAACCAACAAGAAGCCCAGCCTAGAGCTTGCGGGGGACTCAAGTCTGTTCCCTACCAGTTCTTCCCTACAAGGGCTTCTATATCTAGGAAAAAGCAACTGAAGAAGGCTCTGTCCTTACACATTCCCTACCCAGGATGCAGGCCATTTCCCAGGGCCAATTCTCACCTCTTTCCAGCCTTTAGACAGTAACTGGAGATAGTCCCAGCAGGTGGCAGCTGGCATTGCTGGGACCAAGGTGGGGGTGGAGGGAGAGGGTACCAACTAGCGGAAGAAAGGGGAGTCCTCCCCTCATCCTCCCCTACTTAATTCTGCAGGCTCTGAGTTTAAACAAAGCCCTCCACTCCATGCCTCTGGCCTGATGGATCACCAGGGCCCTCCTGTGCCTGGCTCTCTCCCGACCTGGAGAGGCCTGAGCTACCATTCACTCAGGCCTTCAGAAAAGTGGGCTGGTGGAGCAGAGATCAGTGGGGACTATGAGAAAACCTCTGTGAACTCGCCTCCCCCAAGCAACTCCCCCTTTGGCGTCCAAGAGACTTAGAGGTTATCCGATAGCCAGGAGTGGCCAGTCAACCAAGCAGCAGAGCTCAAGGCAAAGAGGCTTCCCCCCACCACCGGCCCAGGCCTTTCTGCGGCTGCTGCGCCCTGTCTCTTGAGCTCCAGCCCTCCCTTTCCCTCTGTTCTTCCCCAAAAGCCAAAAGAAGGGGCTGAACAGGAAGAGGGTGAACTGGCCTAAGTCGGGTGGAAGCTCCATTACCCTTTCCCTGGCCCGGGGCCTGCTACGCAGAGGAGGGCGAGGGGCCGGCGGCCGGGGCGATTAGGCTGCCGCCAAGCTGGGCAGCGGGCGGAATTAAGTCCCTGCCATCTGCCGAGGGCCGGCGCGGGGAGCACGTCCGGGGTTGTGGGAGGGGGCGGGGTGTGCAGAGGAGAAGCCAGAGGGGAAACTGAGGCGCGTGGCGTTTGTCTCGCTCCCACCGCCATGCGAAAGGAAGGACGGGCCTCGGCCAGGCCAGACCCTTAGGGAGCTGCCGCGCGGCACCTCCTGGCCCAGGACTACACGGGACGGGGGAGGCGCGTGGAAAGAGAGGAGTGGGGAGGGGACGGTCTCTGCGTGACTCGAAGCTCTCCAGCAAGGGGCCGTCCCAACTCCGACCTCGTCCCCTCCTCTCCCCGCGCGGCGCAGCCTCCTCCTCCCGCCGACTCCCGGGGGTCTCTCGAGACTGGGGAGTGAGCAGAAAGCGCGCGGCGGCCCGGGGCGCGAGCCCGAGTCCGGCCCAGGCCCGGACGCTGACCCGCGCCCAGTCAGGGTGCAGGCTCCACTCCGGCCTGGCCCAGTTCCCCCGCCCCCACCCCCGGACACGGACACCATTTTAGGTCGCGACATCCCGCAGCCTCCAGTCCCCGAGCCGCGCTTCGGACGCCTCTTGGGCTGGGGGGCGCCAGGACTTGGGGACTCCGACCCTCCCTCCACGTTTACCCGGCTACGGGCTGTGCTTTCAACAGGCGGGGAGTTTCGCCCATCCGCCCCAGGGGATGGAAGTGGCGTCGGGCCTTCCTAAAAGCTGCCCCAGGGGGCGGCGCGGAGAAGGGGGTAGTTGACCAAGTGGGGGAGGGGCGGGGGCATTTACCCGCCCCCCCAGGGGGCGGGGCCAAGGGCGGGTATTTACCCCAGGCACGCTTACTCGTTCCGCTCCTAGTGCGGGCCGAGACCCCGCGCTCTTTCCCCTGCTCCAGCCGCCGCCGCCGCCACCGCCACCGCCGCCCTCCCCGCGGCCGCCGCTACTTCCTGCTTCTCCCCCGTTTAGCCTCCCCCTCCCTCAGCTCCCTCCGCGTTCCCGGTCTGGGCTGCCCGCTTTCGCACTCGCCATTGGCCAGTACCCCCGTCGTTCAGGACTGCGCCCCTCCCAGCCCCGCACTGGGTTGGCCTTAAGTACTGCCGCTCGCAACTAGCCCCGCACAGTCTTCCCAGCCTCATTGGGCAAGGAGCCTAGTCCTTCTGAAGATGCTGCTCCCCATTGGTTGCGCCGGGGCCCACTTGCCCCATTTGTGCTTCTCAAAAACGACTGGCCTCCGCTACTGTCGTTTAGAAAGAAGCCAATCTGATTCCCGACTTTCCTACTGGAGGCGGTGACTATCCCAGGTGCGTCTCCGCCCCCTCACTCCCTATTGGCCGTGATCCTTGAAGCCTGCGGTTCACTTATGCAAATTTAAAGAACTCTCAGCTTCTATTTGGTGAACACTGAGGGGAACATCGTCGACTCTGAGTGGACCCCGGATGTGTAGATCGGTTTTCGCTTTTTGCTCAGGCTAACCCCCAATATCAGTCATACAGTGCAAAAGTCACAGAATGGGACGTCACCCAAATCCTTACGTCATCTGGTGACCATTTCCTCGCTGTTTTCCCACTGTCTAAACTGTCATATAATTTGGATGGTTGGGGTCCTCGCGCTTCCCAGCTCCTGGCGATGACGTCACCCATAGCTCCTCCCTCCCGGGAGGGCTTGGGACAGGGGCGGGACTTGGAGCGCAGAAGGAACAGGCACCTGAGGCTTGGAACGGGCTTGCACACCGGAAGTAGGGGAGAGGTGACGTTAGGAGTGCTGGCGTGGCCTGGGCCATTCCCAAAGGGATCTTAAAGCGGCATACTGGTAGGCTTACTAAGCACGAGGTTGGGGAGTACCCCCTCCCCATACACACGCATCCATTTCCCATTTAAGAGCTCTCCTTTTCCCCGCCCTCAGCACGGGGTGGGGGTGGAGTCGAGGCAGGTTTTCCCGCGCTTTGTTGCCCCGCCCCCTGGAGGCGGGGGAAGGGGAGGGGATGCTCGGAAAACGAGTTGCACTGATACTCTAATGAGCACGCACAAGCCCTGTGTGCCACCTTGCGCACACTCTAGCCCGCCCGCGAGCCCCCGCAGCTGCGGCGCGCGCAGTCGCTCACAACCTGGATGTAGTTACTAAGGTGGTTCTGTACCCTGCTCGAGGGTCACTAGACCCGTGGACCAGGACTCGTGCGCGCCCTGAGAGTCTGCGTGGGTAATAGCGACTGTATTGAGGTGTGAATCAGAGCTTCTGGATGGGGCCACCACTTAGCATAGGTTCCATCGGGCAAGTCGCTGAACCTCCCTGAACCGGTTTTCCCATTGGTAAAATGGAGATTATAATACCCACCTGACATGATTGCTTTTGTGAAGATTAAAAGCGTTTAGAATGTAAAAGTGCTTTGTAAAGTGATGGGCAAATGGGGTTAGTGCCCGCCCACTCCACCACCTTCTTTCTCGAGGTTGCCTGCCATTGCTCCAGCTCACAGCGCTCTTCCATCTCGAAACAACTAACTCAAGAGTCGCGTACTGGGTGTAGCCAACCGGTATTCCATTCCCACCTTCCTCTCTGAGTCTTTCTGTACGGAATAATTACTACTCAGATATACGTGTGGGACATATTATAAGAACTTTATGTATATTAATTCATTTAATCTTTACCACAACCCTGTGAGGGCGGTACTATTATCACCTCCATTTTACTATGGAGGAAACTGCCGCACAGACAGGTTAGGTTAGGTGACTTACCCAGGGTCAAAGGCAGTGGAGTTGAAATTCTGAGTCCAAAAAGTTAAACATTATGTTTCACAGATTCCCTTGCCAGGAGGGTTCTGGATAGAAATTTGTTCTTCAGTTAGATGCATTATTCATTCATTTAAGAAATAGTTTAATCAATATTTCTTGAGCACCGTCTGTGAGTAAAAACACTGTTGTAGGCGCTGGGGATACAGCAATGAACAAAGCAGACAAGAATCCCTGTCCTCATGAAACGTGTTCCTGTGGAGAAAACGAACAATAAATATGACAAGTAAAATATATGGGAGCCCGTTCGAAATGATCATTGCCACAGGGAAAAATAAAGCAGGGCTATCAAGCCACGAAAAGACATGGAGGAACTTTAAAGGCACATTGCTATGTGGAAGAAGCCAATCTGAAAGGGCTATATATATTGTATGATTCCAACTATATAACATTCTGGAAAAGGCAAAACTATGGAAACATTAAAAAGTTGTGTTTAAAAAGTAAAAAGAGGGGTCAGCCCAGTGGCGTAGCGGTTAAGTTCACCCGCTCCACTTCGGTGGTCCGGATTCACAGGTTCCGAACCGGGGGCGCGGACGGACGCACCGCTTGGCAAGCCATGCTGTGGCGGCGTCCCATATAAAGTAGAGGAAGATGGGCACAGATGTTAGCCCAGGGCTAATCTTCCTCAGCAAAAAGAGGAGGATTGGCATCGGATGCTAGCTCAGGGCTAATCTTCCTCACACACACACACAAAAGGTACAAAGGTTGCTAAGCGTTCAGATAGAGGGAGGGATGACTAGGTGGAGCACAGGGGATTTTTGGTCAGTGAAACTGTTCTGTGTGATGCTATAATAGTGGATTCATGACATTATACATTTGTCAAAAGCCCTAATGTAAACTATGGACTTTAGTTAATAACAATGAATCAATATTAGTTTACTAATTGTAACAGATGTACCACACTAATACAAGATGTTAAGAGGGGAAACTAGGGGGAAGGAAATATATGGGAATCCTGCTCAATTTTTCTATAAACCTAAAACTGTTCTAACAAAGTCTACTAATTTTTTTTAAAGTGAAAAAATAAAGCAGGGAAAGAGGACAGAAAGTGTGGGGAGGGTTGCAATTTTAGATAGGGTGGGCAGTGAACGCCTCTCTGAGAAGGTGGCATTTAAACAAAGGCCAGAAGTTGGTGAGTGAGCCATGCAGCTGTCTGGGAAGACAAGGTTCCGGAAAGAGGGAACAAATACAAGTGGTAGAGGGTTCCAGAGAGGTAAGGGGGTGGGAGAAGTGGGCCAGGTCATGGGATGCTTTGGGGGCTATTGGAAGGACTTTGTCTCTTTGGCTTTTTCTCAGAGTGGGATGGGAAGGAGACAAATGACATGGTGGCATGACTTACCTTCTAAAAAGATTGGATGTGGGGTATGAGAAAAAGAAACTCAAAAGCTCGGGGCCTGAGGAAATAGAAGATTGATGTTGCCATTTCCTGATCTAGGAAGACTACAGGAGAAGTGGGTTCCAAGGTAAGTTCAGTAGTTCAATTTCAGTCATGTTCAGTCATATGACACATCCAAGTGGAGATATAACTTTGGGTGTGAACAGCTTATAGATAATATTTAAAATCTGGCTCAGAATGAATAAAATCACCAAGGGAATATATGAGGATAGAAAAGAGAAAATGTCCAAGGACTGAGCTGTGGGGAACTCCAAAGTTTAAAAGTCAGAGAGGTAAGAAGAACCAGTAAAGGAGACTGAGAAAGAATAGCGAAGAGAAGGAGGGAACCAGGAGAGTGTTGTGGCCTTTAAACCGAATAAAGTGTTTCAAGGAGGAAAGAATGATGAACTGCCAGATGCCACTAAAAGATCAAATATGATGAAACCTGAGAGTTAACCAATGGATTAAGCAAAATGGAAGTCATGGGTGATCATGATAAGGACAGATTTGGTGGAGTGGCAGCGACAAAAGCTTGCATGTAGTGGTTTCAAAAGAATGGAGGAGGGGAAAAAAGGAGACAGTGACTATAG